AATTCATAAGGTTTTGAAATGGCTGTTACGAAGAAAACTTGTAGACTGAATTTTATTTATCTTAAGCCATTTTGCTTGATCCTAACTCGTTCATATTTATGCAGCAGTTATGGCGGCAATGTTGCCTACAAAATGTTAAACGTCAAAGTTTGTTTATCTTACCGATAGTTGCGCTGTGCGATTCAGCGTTCTTCCAGGCGATTCTCTCCCGATGGCTTGGAAGCAGTTACTCAGAAAGTGTTCACAACGTTTCGCATTTATCACAGCTGTAACCTCGATCATTCCCGAAAAGATCCCCTTCTTCCGGATGGTTCTGGAAGTGCACCATCAAACGATGCAGGAATGTACGGTTGTGTAGTAGATAGAGTTAGTGTTGAATAAATAATGAGTAGAATCGAGTGAGCGTGAAGCGTGATAGTCCGTATGTAAACGGAATGTCATTTGTTAGAGAATTTTGATAGGTCAGCAGGTATAAATATGAAGTACCTACACACTTAAAAATTTTCTTCGAGATTCCAACAGCCGAGTAATTCTGCAATTTATTTTGCTGAGATTCAGTAAAACAATTGCCGAGACTCAGCTAACAAATAATATTTTGCTGAGATATCAGCTAACAAACAGATATTTTGCAGAGATATCAGCAAAAGTAAATGCCGAGGTAATCGGCTGTTGGAGATTTTACCGAGCTAGATTAAGTGTGTAAGCTCGTTGAAGTCATTCTTGTAACGAATTTTGGAGGTGACGGACCACCACCAGTAGCAGAAACAGCAGCAACAGAAACAGCAGCAACAGTAAATTCAGCAGCAGAAGCAGCAACAGCCGCGGGAGCTGCATCGCTAATTCGTGTAGCCGTGACCGAGGCTGGAAACCTCGGTCCGGTCACGACAGGTTGAATGAATTTTTTTTCCAAGTGATGACCCTTTCGCCGAATAAAATCGCAGCTATGGATCGGAAACCAACTAGTGTCCGCTAACTGACAGTTTCAGTGGTTTGCTGTCGGTACTGACACAAGTTATTCCGATTTTCATCTATTCGCAAGGTCTGGAGAAAGCTGGTCTGTTTTCAGACTGTTTTGACAATGTTTTATGAACTTGAGAAACACGATCACTTCACTTTTCTCCACCAGATGCTCAGTCGTTGATGGTACCCGTTCCGCCGGACGTGCTGGTTCTGCTAAAGAACAAAATTTTACTGAAATCGACTTCCCGTCGGTCGTTAGCATCGCTTGAATTTTTCCTCCAACTTCGTTTATCCTTCGAGATATCCTTGTCATAAATTTGGTTTTTATTCACTGTAAGGATCCATCCTTAAAATTCAATTTGTAAATAGAGGAGATTTTATGATACACTTCTAAAAGCCTAATAGGCAACAATATATGCCTTTCGCTCTCATTTAAAACCTAATGGTTTTATGATTGCGTTTATAATAGAGTATTTTATCAAGACAATAATAAAAAATTGCTAATGAAGTTTATGATTGATTCATAGAACAGTTTTATGGTGGGACTGAAAACTACTTTATATCTAATTTTAAAACAAGACATTTTTTGACTTCTCGGCAGACTGTAAAAGGTTTTTAAAACAGCGAAAAGGTGAACTACTAAGCAAGAATGTTTTACACTGTGAAATTCTGTATTTAAACTAAATGGATGATTCATTGCCGTTATAAAACCATCATAAATCAGAGTGGATGCCAAATGATTGCAGAATTGTTACTTGGGCAACGTGGACTCGGTCTTTAGATCTCAGCAATTTAAAATTCTAGTCCAATGTTTTGTTTTTCCTCAGTTCAGGACATAAAGTCACTGCGACCAGTTATTTGATCTATTGTGGTATAGGGGCCCTTCTATCTCAGCAGCTAGTTGATATGATGGCAAAAAATTACCATCATACGTCGAACTTTTAAAAAACTAAACGAGAGCAAAACATTTTTAGAAAAAAATCATTTGAAATTTGAAAAAAAAAAAAATGTTAAAAATCCATACAAATATAGTATTTTCTTGAAACACTGGTATTGCACGGTTGCTACTGTGTTATTGCCAGACCAGCTGTAATTACACAGAGAACCAATAGACAATGCTTGGGACTAGCAATCATCCTCAATGTGTAAAAACTGGTGATCTCAAACTAGGCAATACCAGCGCTGGCCGCGCCCGAACACAGGTCAAGAAAGGAAGGGGTAGGAATGTGTTGACGTGACACTCGCTTTGATGGAAGCCGAGAACACCTCTGCACTTCCACGAGGAATCACTGGGATATTGGGTAATAGGGTTGGGTTTGCAGCAGGGTTCGTTTTGGTAAACGATAAGCTGAATTGATGTCCTAACAATCATATAACGCGAAGGAGCTTGGGATTGAACACGCGGTCTTCTGATCAGTAAGCAAAAATGTTTGCCACTAGGCAGACGAGCTCCTTTTTGATCATCGAGTTGCTGTTGTAGTCATGTTAACAAATAAAACGATTAACGAATCTTGAATGTGGATGGGCTTGAGATTAGACTCATGATGTTCTACTCGGTAAGCAAAGCCGGTTGCTCTAAGGCCACCGAGCCCCTCATATCACATTATTGCGTTGCTTAAGTTTTTATAACTATCCAATTTTACAAAATACACGATAAACAAGCGACCTTACCATATATTTGAAATATGAAAGGACCTGGGACCGCGTTTTTCTGCTCAGTAAGCAAGCCACTGCAACCGACGATCTTTGAAATCCTAAAACTAAAAGCTACGAATGCGTACTTAGGCCTTCATTAAGATCCACTTTCACGCGACGTTCAATGTTTCGATTTTCTCTTTACGCATGGTTCAGGCAATCATAACAAGCTATGACCGACGTGACGATTGTTTAAGACCTGGTTAAACATGCTATTCAAATGGAATTACGTTCTCGAATTTCACTAGGCATGTAATGAACAACAGAAATACGTGATAATTCATATTTTCATCGGTTGATGGTTAATTTTAAATATACTAACGGTACTGCCTACGGCGACTACGACGGCGATTACGACAGCGGCTACGACGGCGCCTACGAAAACGACAACAGCGAATTAGTAACTTACCATTTGTCTAGGATATAACACCTTTGCCACTGTTTTTTTCCTTGATTTGTTTTCCGTCGATCTTGTTTTCCGTACTGAGCACCAATGCTACCGACGCCAGGAAGGCAGCTCCCACACCTGGACCCTACCTATCGACTCATCAACTCATGAACCGGGGACCAACGGCTTTACTTCCCTTATTTCTTGAAACACTGGTATTGATGAATATTTCAAAAATTAAACAAGGAGGTATGATGCGCCCTGCGAATTGAAGTGTGGTAAGCTTATGCTTATGCTTATCAGGTGTGAACCTATGAGATTCAATAGAGAAAGAACATAGATAAAGCCTACATGTATGCTTCCTTGGCATAAATTAGTATACGCATTTTGCCCCGCAGCATTTCGAAAGCAGGTTTTTGTTAGCCTTTTCATTTTCAATAATTGAATCAAGATTTCAACATTTTTCGTTAAGCATATCAATTGTTATATATAGCTAATAGTCTAATCCAGTGATGTATAAGATGTCATTGTACTTAAATAGCGATGAACATGATGGATTCAACGGAGATCTTCTTTAGCATGGGCATTTTTCAACGAAGTGTAACTAAATTCAAATTTCGTTATATTTTCAACGATTTGTAAAGAAATTTCCTACATTTAGGTGCAACTGTGATTTTCATAAATCTCGATTACTTTTTCAAAGGAACGTATCTACTTTTGTAAACAAAGGTTCAAACGTAAATTTATCGAAATTATTATCCATCAGAAAACTTCATAAACAACAATAATATTGAATTTGTGATGGTTGAATCGGAAATACATTTCATAAGTGATGCTTTGAGTGCTTTTTCAAAAAGGCGAAAAACACGAAAATTGTTTTTTAATATGTTTGTAAAATATGTAACACATACATATCAAAGTTATATACGATATCAACGGAAATACCCTAACCTACAATATGGAACCAATGCTTCTAATTTGGAAAAAGCACAGCGAGTAAATTTAATCTTTATATTATACTATCAAAGTTACCCGCATTATCTAGCATACCCCGTTTTACGGTACTGGTTTTAATACCATTAGTTGGTCAAATGTCCTTTTTTTAGGAATTCAATATTTACGTTAAAAAGTGATAAATTTTTCCTTGGCTTACGGTACCATTTTCATCATTGTCCTTATTTTGTTGCCCAAAATAGGGCTATGGAATGTAAACTAGGACTAGCCCCTCAACTCTAGCAAATACATTAAGTTACATCTATTGTCGGGACAGTAGACCGATATTAAATCCACGTTCCTCAAATGTTTTCATGCGATAATGATAAGTTTAGTAACAGTTTATCTTGCCTGCCTAATTGTTACGAAAATTATAAGCTTCGACAATGAAATTTCGTCTGCAGGTCTTTTGTTTTAGAACGATTCAAATCAAAATCAATGGCTGCTTTTTAGACCCAGCCCTAGCAGCACCGTTGTCATTGAACATTTGTGGTTACTTGTGTGCAACTTATTACATTCACAATCAAGATGCAGCAGCTTATTTTGGTGGAAGTGTGCTGCTTGGGAGGCTAGAGACAAATACCCAGTACTTTTTTCATCATTTCTACATTCTCGCAATGTTGGTGTGGTTGCTCCGTTATGTTAAACTGACGTGATACAGTACCTAATGCTTATTCAGTTACTCGCTTCTAGTGTTAAAAATCCGCATTCAAATGACACTAGCTTAAGTCCCGGAGAGACTTAGTCGACTTGTGTGCTTTATTCGAAGCTTGGTGAGAAGGACGGTTCTTTGGCTTACAATTTTTGATCGGTTTAGAATTGAAGAAAAGTAGTGTTTCTAGGACACACAGGACTTGTGGTGACTGGAAGCATGGTAAGTAATTTTCATTATGTTGCTCATCAGAGTAGTGCAGTTTTCGGTGAATGTTTTTATACAAGAAAATTCGTAGTTACAAAACATATATATGGTTTGATAGTCACTTCAATATTCACCGTTGTTTTATTTGACGTCAATTGTATGCTTGATGGTTACTATTCTTTATTGCATATCACAGAGTGAATTCTTTCTCGAATTTACATGGGATGTACACAAGTCTTTGTAGTTATTAATGTTTTTCGCTTATGAGTTCATTTTCCTCATTTGCTGTGTCTAAGAATTTTGCACTTTGAGCTTCTAAATCTGTTTTATTGCCATAGAACTTCTGTACAATTCCTCTAAAAAGTGCCCGAAATAGATGTCGATCCATATTTCTTGCTAAATAGTACAAGAAAATCCAATCTGATATCGATAAACTATTTGTTATGAAACTCAGGTCATGAGAGTTTAACATACCAGGGCACACAGCTGAAAAAACGAAGCTGTTGAATTTTTCCGATCTGAAATAAGATAAATTTAATTTAATGATTGATGATAGTGATAAACAAATGCATATACCTAGCATGAAAAATAAACGTTATTAACCTCCAAATCAGTGCGATTACTGAAACAACGATGAGGATTGCATACCAGAACCAAAGAAATGTAAAAATTTTCTCATTAATTACGTTTAGAGCCATAACACATAGAGCATCATGTTTCTGAATTGATCCGGAAGGTCCATACTTATGAAAATGGCACTTTGTCACCTTGGGAAATATGGTATCCAGAACATCCATTGTTCCAGAAAAATCTTCATCAATGAAATCCAACCCTAGTCGGTAGAAACGTCCTCCAAGGAACTTGTTTGTGAACCAAACTTGAGTTAATACATTTACCAAATTCAATATTTCACAGAGTACAAATTTAGGGGCCCAAAGATGATTTAAAATTATATGCTTGTGGAAAGCCTCACAAACGACTTCGATTTTCTTATCCAACTCAGCTTTTGGGTACAGTGTATATTTGCTATCAAATGTTATCGCATTACTCTGTGTGTAGTATTTTGAAACTTCGACCATTCGTAATCCTTCTACCAGTCGTTTGATTTTTCCTCCTGAAATATAAAGTAAAATAAAATATGATTTTAATGTACTTTAAGCATCAAGCGAAGAGTATCAGATTGAGTGTTTACTATTATATTAGTGTCTACATACTTATAATCTATCCCATCCTGTTATGTTTAAATGAAAGTTTCAAATAATTTCGGCATGTTGTTCAACTTTACCACTCCCTGTTCTTCATTGCGCTTTTGAATGGTATTAAGATCCCTAACAAGTCAAATTTGAACGTATGTGGCTGCGAATTGGATTTCCGGGGGAACTTTAAAGTCAACATGGGTAAACGCATATAACATATTATTTTGGTTGTAGAAAATTCACACATTGCTCAATTTTACCCATACGTAATGATTATTCGGCTTAATGACCTTCGGCTTATGGCCAGACACCTAATTCCTCGACTTAATAACGGTTCAGCGTGAAACAGCAGATAGCGCACCATAAAACAGAAGTGCTACTGATCTGTAGCTGCAATGTGGTTCAGCAGGCAGAAATCATCGTCAGAGAACATGTCATAACCTCGAAGCGCATACTGAAATACTTGGGCGAGATGATCGATGGCCAGCTTAACTTCAACAGCTACGTTGACTATGGCTGAGAGAAGGTGGCGAAGGCCAATGGAAGCTAAAATTATGCCGAACTACTCTGGAGCAAGCAGTTGCAAGAGGCGTCTTCTAGTGTACCTTCGCCGATACTGAGGATAGGAGATCTACCCTGGATTGCAGCGCTGGAAACTATGTGGAATCAAGTGGCAGTAAGTTCAGGCTCATGGTCATGCAAGTCGCTGGAAGACAGCGAGTGCTACAAGCGAAAACACACTAGTAGAATACGGAAAACAGTGAGAGTGGAGTTGACCAAGTGGTCAATTCGATATTGGTCCAGCCTGGGTTGCAGCGCTGGAAACCAAGCGGAACCAAGCGAAGTTGAACAGATCGTTCAGGCTCATGGCAATGCTAGTTGTGAGTACGAATCTCGTCGGAAGCAGTATGTGTTATCGTCGGAATGATCCCTATCGGCATCGCTTTGGCTGAGGACAGATAGTGCTGCAAGCGGAAGCAAACCAGAGGAATACCGGCAATTGTAAGACCGGAGTCGATGGCCAAGTGGCAGCAGGAATGGGACATGACAGAGAACGGTACATGGACTCATAAGGTAATACCAAATGTTTCTATCTAGGTGAACAGAATCTGATGTCTACCGTAAAGTTGAAAACCGTATAGGTCCACGCACATTAGATCCAGATCGGACGCGTTGCGGCAAAGTGACAGCTAAATCTATTGTCAACTGTCAAATTTAAGTCAACGCAACGCAAACGGATCTAATGTGGGTGGCCCTTATTTATGAAAAGTTGCTGAAGAAATGGAAGCTGTGCATCTTCAATCAATAGAGTTACATGATGTTTTGTAAAATATGTCTGAAATTCTCGTTTCATGTATTAAGTTTTATAAATTCGTTCGAATGCATACTTTTACCATTTTTCGTCGATTAGTTTGGGTCCATTCAATCGTTTCCAGAACAATTATTTTATTTGTAGAGCACTAAGAAATAAATATCACTTGAATATTTTTACAAAAAAAAAAACACGATTTTCACAATTTACACGATTTTCACGAAAAAGCGCAAGTGAACGCAAAATGTTATCAGTTATTCAATATTAACATCAAACATTTAGACTGTCATTCCTCAAAATATCTCATTCTTGAAATTCCTCAAAATATGGAGACATATTAGATACATTAGGATTGAATCAAACAATAATATTTAATGTACATTCGGGTGGGCCAAGTTTATATGACGGGTCACAACCCCCTGATTCCCACTGTTTTATTGATGTGTATAAAGGTCATCAACAACTGTGACAAATTTGAAAGAATTTGGGTGCGATCTGGAACTGCGGGAAAACTTTTAAATTTGTATGGAAAAATCTATGGAGAACTGAAAAAAATTATCAAACTTATGACTTAGATTGGTACAGCTAAACAAAACAACTTTTTCCAACATCGCGAATTTATTTGACGTCTGTGCAAAAAGTTACTATACTTTTACTAAAGGTTAAAAGTTCTGCAAGTTACTATACTTTTACTAATTTTCTTCCCTACAGGCTAATATATGAGCTTGTAGGTATGCGTAGTGCACTAGGCGTAAAGTAAAACAATAATTACTTTTTGTACTGAAGCTGAATCGATTTTCAGTCTTCGACAATTTTTTTTTCTTTGATTTGTTTTCCGTTGATCTTGTTTTACGTACTGAGTACCAATGCTACAGACGCCAGGGAGGCAGTTCCCACACCTGGATCCTACCTATCGACCCATCAACTCATGGACCGAGGACCAACGGCTTTACTTCCCTAAAATATCGTGATCAGATATTTTATGCCTCAGAAAATCCTGGCGGTACCGTCTCTGATTGAACCCAGGCCTTTTGAGGTGAGAGGTAATCGCGCTTACCACTACACCACCGGCGCCGATATGATCGAGAAGGTTGTTTTGCATGGTTTTTTCAATCTTAGTCCCAGGTTTATCAATTTTCGAATTAGTGTTGGTGGTCACAAACAATCAACAATGTATATTAAGGTTATTCTTTGTAGGCTAAACATGCACTTCCATTTCGAATTTTCAATTACACACATCTCTGAAATTAATGTCCCATTTCACCTGAAATTGCTACTTCATGTATGCTGCAGTACAGCAAACGTGGAGTAACAGTTTCATTGTGGTACGTATCGTAGAAGCTGATATTTGTGCACTTAAAGGTTCTAAGTGGTTACTAAAATAAGGTCTCACAGCGAAACACCTTAAGGTCACCAACAACAATAAAAAAATATATACATAAAAATTTTGGGGAACAGGGGGTTGTGATTCGCCATATAAACTTTACCCACCCTAATGTACATTAGACTGATGCAAAATTTGAAATTTCCGCTCTACAGTGCTTAAACGGTTCCAAATTGGGTCCTGCTTAGCCTCCCAAAATTTGAACTACTTTAGTAAGAAACTGACTTGGCACAAACCATTACAAGTTTATTTGGGAATTACTATGGGAAAACTTACGTTTTTGTTCATATCTATCTAATAACTCACCACATCACTATGCTTTTAAAAATGATAGCAGTGATTCTAGCTACAAGCTCTCAACTACAACTTTGTTGAAAACCACTTTTCAATCAAATGTAAGGAATAAAAGTTATTAATGATTCAAATCACTGATGATTATGCTCATTCAACTGTTCAGCAGACAACATTGGTGTTTCTGGTGCGAAGAATAGAGCACAAATATCATGGCTACAATGTCACACTACAGAATACAGTAGTGTTGCCCACAGAACAGCTGCTTGATCATGCCGTAAGATTATCAATCTCTTAAACAATTAATAACAATTTAATTTGACATTTGGCCGAAAAACAATATTCGGCAAAGTTGTAGCTTAGAAAATTTCACGTAAGAATAGTTACAGAAATTTTTGAAAAAGCAATATAGAAAATGGGTAGAAGACTATGAACAAAAAGTTTGGTTTTCCCATAGTAATTTCCATATAAACTTCGAATAGTTTGTGCCAAGTCAGTTTCTTACCAAATGACTTTAAATTTTGGGATGCTAGTCAGGACCTGATTTCAAACCGTTTGAGCACTGTGGAGCAATAATTTTAAATTTTTCATCAGTCTGATGTACACACAGATGTAATATTATTGTTTAAATAAAATATATTGTTTGATTCAAATCCAAATATATCAAACATTTCTCAATTTACCTTCAAGATATTTTGAGTTATAATAGTCTATTTGATGTTTATTTTGAATAACTGATAACATTTTGCGTTCACTTGCGCTTTTTCGTGAAAATCATTCTGAAAACCATGTATTTTCATCAAATTTCAAGTGATATTTATTTTTTAGTACTGTCAAAATAAAATAATTGTTCTGAAAACAATTGACTGCAAAACCGATCGACGAAAAATTATAAAAGTATTTATTTGAACGAATTTATAAAACTTAATAATAAAAACGTGAATTTCATACAGCTTCGTATATCTCTGTTGTTTGAAGATGTACGGCTTTTACGGCTGTAAATATTCAAAAAATTTAGTGGTCTCCAACTTTGTCCTCTACCTCTAGCGTGTTAAAAAAAAAAGATGGCATCGCTGCGCCATCTTTGTAGCAACAACTTGAACTATCTTCATCCACCAAATCATATTCCTAACTAAGTCAAGAAACTTTGCCGAAGGCGTCAACTCAATTGAATACAATTCCAGAGCGTTATTATTATTTTTTTTCCTGCTAGATTTCATTTCTGGCCCACTGTGCATCGGTTCGGACACGCAGGGTCACCCCTCTGTCCGCAATGTGGAAATGTGGAGGAAACACCGGAGCACGTAGTCTTCGACTGTCCTAGATTCAAGGCAGTGGAAATAAGATTCCTGCTATTAACGCGAAGAATGTTGTCGATGAGAGGCCATCTGGAATGCCGTCAGCAGTCTCGTAAATTCTATTGGAGCTGCAACGTAAATGAAGAGATTAGCCAGTAAATGCTGAGCTAACGAGAAATGCATGAACACAAAGAAGTAGTGCATCCCTGTGATTCTGGTGGGATCCAGGCTAGAGGAGAGAATAAGGAGTAGTTTTTAGCAGTAAAGAATTCCACACCATGCCTGAGGTACATGTGGGACACGCACGCACACGCTCTGATCAAAATTCGATTTCTAAGTGCTTTATAGACATTGTTTACCTTGGTATATGACCATGGAAACATAACTGAAGCGTACATAGCTATTAATCACTTTGAGATAGTAAAATATCGCTCGGTGTTTTTTTTTGTCGCCACGAGTGGATGACTACGTTTTCCATCTTACCTTCTATGGTGCGCCATATGTAATGTGGTCCGTAAAACATAATTGCCTGCAGAAATAATACAAACGGAACCCATTGGTAGTATGCATGGTATTTCACAGGATCGTCAGCATACATATGTCCCACACCTGGATGTGGGATTGTTCCGTCCTGCAGCATCGATTCATTAAAATGTCGCACAACCGTAAAGGTAGTTGTGAAAAAACAGAAGGTATTGATGACATGTTCAGGAATTGATCCGCCAGTAATGCATCGAATATGTTCACCGATGTATTGTCTGCGGTTAGAAAGAATGTTAAAAATAGGAACATTATTTACTCCCATTGGTTTATTTACCTTGATGTTACAAGCAGTGTACAAACAAGAAGTAATGTAAACGTTGCTCTGTAGTGAAATTTGAATGCTACGTTGTCGATGGATACAAATTTATTTTTAAACTTTAAATGAGGAGACAGCACCGAAAATGTACTTAACATTGTGATATATATGAAAGAAACCTATTTATTTTCTACACAACACTCAAAAATACACCTGACAATCAAAGCATTGCTGATGGAACTGAATCATGCACTTCAATTTCTTATCAACATTCTTATCTATCCCTTGATGGTTGTTATCAATAACTCAAGAAACGTAAATGGGCCTCCAAGGAAAAATGATAAACTCATATGCAATCCTTTCGAGTGAGTGCTAGGTTAGGGTGATGACACCCTCTTATAGTGACACAAATCGCTAGTAGCTAAATCTCAATACAAACATATTAGATCTGAAAAATATCGTGATTTTGATACGGTTCGAGTCATTTCGTTCGAGTTTGTGGTTATTATTATTGTATTACGATACATTGTTTTACATAGTAAACTCACCCTTACTCGATATTGGAGGGACCGTTGAGAAATTAGTGATATCGAGTTATGGAGATAATTTTTTTTAGATTTTAGATTTGGTCGAAGTAGGAAGAATTTAAATCGAGTTAAGGGGAGATCGAGTACTACAATTATTTTATACATAGTAATACATAATTCGTGTCAGTCAGCTATACCTTATGATATGTTCGCACCATGGAGTTAAAATATGTTTTAAGGGTGTTATAATAATTATTAGCAAGAAAAACGTCATCAAGACAGCCTTGTAACATGTTATAACTCTGTAATGCAAACATAGTATAAGGCAGCTTTCTCTGATACGAAATATGTATTACTATTAAACATAATGTTAGTTGTCTTTTCTCTATGAATAAGTGCAAATTTGAAGTTGAAAAAAAAAGGAATCCGTATAAATATTGATAAACTACACCACAGAAAAAAATCTCCCTCGTATAGTTTTTAACTTAAGAGTCCTAATTTATTTATTAACATTTGTATGGGAGCCTGTTCATAAATCACGTTGACACCTTGTGATGGGGAAAGGCGGGGTGTGGGGGGGGGGGGGGGTATTGACGGGCTAGTTTAGTAAAATGGCCAATAGATTAGCACATTTATAATTCAAAATTTTCGAAGTCTATTATTTCTGAATTTTTTTACTATGGCGTAAATAACTTTCTTAAGCACACCGTCGTTTATTTGCAATATGGCTTAACATTTTAAACTTTAACAGTTCGGAAATTTCGAATAATAAATGTGCTAATTTATTGGCCATTTCAGCGCTTCCAATAATTTGATATCACGTACACGCAAAATTCAGCATATCTGTAGCTCTGTGTCAACATTTCAGCTCAATTGATCATAACAAAACATAGTTGAAACATGCCAAAGTTGGCTAGTTTGTATGAAAATCGGCCTGTTGTGCTATTGTAAAAGGCCACCACGGTAATAGTAGCGAATGCCGATTTTCATAAAAAATGACAAGTTTGAAATGTTGTAACTTTGTTCTAAGATCAATTGAGCTTAAACGTTTGCCACAGAACTACAAATATGTTCAATTTTACGATTAAAAAATTCCAAATTTTTGGAAACACCTGCCGTAAAGTGAGATACTAGGTGAAATTGTTCGAAATAATAGTTAGATTGGATCATTTATGTACTGCAAATATTTTAAACATTTTTCAACAATTATGTATTTTTGTTAATTGAGTGGGGATCGTCAAATCGGGGATTTTGCGTGGGGATTGTCAAACATTTTGAGAAATGTAATATTAAAAATCTTGAAATTGAGCTGAAATGTAAATTATAAAAACTGCTATTATTTTGAACAATTTTACCTAGTATCGGAAGGTGCTTCCAAAAGTTTGGTATTTTGTAAACGTAAAATTGAACATATTTGTAGTTTTGTGACTAGGGATTCAGCTCAATTGATCATAAGGCAACAAAGTTACATCTTTCTCAAAGTTGACCATATGAAAATTTGCATGCGCTGCTGTTATATCGAACAGCACTGTATTGAGCAACAATATGTATATACAGTTGTTTCGGAAACCACAACTATTGTTGAAATTTTAACACCAGATTCTTCTTGAGCGAACTCAAATCAAGTATATTGCATTGCATAAAAACCTACATGATCAACTTCACCCCAGAAATGAAAATTTAATTTTAATTATAAAAATAAACTAAACACGAAATTTTAAAACTAATTTCCTACATTAGAAAAACATTTGCTAGTACAGGTTTGAGAACTATTTGTTTGGATAGCAAACATATGGTTGTAGACATATTCAGGTTTATCGGAAGAAAGTCATTAACTTGCCGGGTCCTCCTTTGAGGCCCCTTCTTTCCGTCTAAACGAGATGAAGCCAGTTATTGCCCTAAAAATCTTGCTAATAAAGCAAATAAAAAATTATTATCTAAAAATCTGTAAAAAAAAATACCTAATAGGGGAAATGGCTCTAATGTTGGCCTATGGATCTTACAATTGGGCCCATCTATAAAAATCTCCTGGTTTCCATTTTTTATTAGAACAGTGCGTCATCTGGACAATACAAAGTAAAAAATTGAAAAAAATGCTTTCTGTTAAAATTTATTTATGGGCCCAATATTAGGAACACTTAGGCCAACGATAGGAAGGGTCCAGGTATGGGAGCTGCCTCTCTGGCGTAGGTAGCATTATTGGTGCTCAGCACGGAAAACAAGAACGACTGAAAACAAACCAAGGGAAAAAAAGCTCAAAATTCATTTCAATTAAGTAATATTTCCAGGAAAATATTGGTTTTTCTGTTATTTAGCAATCAATTGCAATACATCTATCAAATTTAAGAAAATATTAATTGTCAATAATTAGATTATATTTGGACTCTTGGTCCTGGATCATTGCCGAAGACGATGACGCCTGAAGGTATGCAACGTTTCATATAAATCAACTGCTGCCTCTTTTTTACTTCCATTAATATTGACCGCATCAATAAAATAAATAAAATAGCTGATATCGTAAGTAAACTTCCCGAAAACTTACATTTAATCATATCACTCAATGATTATTCTTGCTGAAAAATGTATTTAGCCATGTTTTATGGGAGTGCAATAATTAGATACAAAGTGTGCAATAATAGAATTTCATAGCAAATGATGCGTGCAACAAGTGGACTCTGATGGACATTTAAAAGTTTTACTATATAACATGATTTTATCAATATAAATTGCTGATGAACGCTGTAAATGCTTCATCAATCACATTCAAGGGTATTTCGAAGAATTCTTATTGTTCCAAACAAATTTTAGTTTACATCAACTTGCTTAAAATAAATATCGAATTTCTTGAAATAATCAACATTTTTGGTTGAATTAATCAACATGGTTAATTCCACTACCTTAATTGATTATACTTGACACAGACGAGTATTTCATTTAAAATGTGCAGACTACTAATACCAGATACTGAAGAAGTCTGCACATTGTGACGAAATACACGTATCTGTCAAGTATAATCAATTACGGGAGTGTAATTAAAATGAAGTAACACAGGTAATTTTTCATGTGCAGGTAGACGACTACATTCATCAGGATGCAATTTAAGGATTTCCAAATTTCCAGTATGATAACATAATCAAAGACATTATTAAGTAGTACGATTATGTTCATGATGCTTGTCATGGTGTTAATTAAAATAACGTATTATAAGTATTTGGACTTGAGACAAATTGGCAAGCCTCTAGAACTAAAAAAATACTTGATTTTGGAACTGAGACAAGTTTCAAACATTCTGGGGGAAGGATTCAGGATTTTAAGCTTTAGCTCAAGTTTCTTGTTTCTTGAATACGTTGAGCTAATAAACTCAACATGACAGAAGCAGATCGTATCGGTAGATATTAGGTGCGGTACTCAAATTACGTAACGTTAAAAGCCGTAGTTTGGACCCCTCCCCCTATGTAGCAATAAGTAACACTTTACAAGACTACCCCCCCCCCCCCACCCGGAAAATTATGTAACTCTAACTCACACACTCACCCTCTATTTTTCATGATTAAATTTAATTTTTCAAATAACAGCTCTTAAACTTGTTATTGTACAAGAGACGCGTGGATTTACTATGCATCATTTTTCATTTTTCAATTTTAATTTTTACTTTGGCAAATCTGTTACGTAACATTTCTCATTAGCACTTATTTAACAATAAATAACGCGTCCTCGATCCCTACCTTTTCTCCATGCGCTACGTAATTTATGCTCAAAGCCTAAGTTTAGAACCTGCGTCAAGTCCCAGTAGGGTTATAATAAGGCCAAAGAAGAAGAACTCGCAGCACTTTTATAGTTGTGCAACATTTTCATGCCGTACAAGATTGTTCTTGTTTCACAGACATTGTGGTGACAACGTATGTTAAAAAATATTTTTTTTTGTAATTACTTTATTTGTACAGGCTCAATCGAATAAACTTTACAGAGCCGAGTTATCCTTTGCGTTATACATTGTTACTGTCTTATATTTAAAGTTAAAGGAACTGGACCGAGTACTCGCGGTCGTCTCGAGGTTAGTGGAGATTTACAATTTTTTGGATGGGAAAAGGGAAGAAGGAGGTTTTAAATGTGGTTTACGATATAACTATTTAATTAATTCTAAAGCATGAAATTATTTCTATTCATCTTGAAAACAAACATTGAAAAAAAAACCCCCCAGACGTACAAAACACAAACTAAACACAAGGTTAATCAAACTTACAATCTAAGGTTAATATCCTTAAAGTAAATATGTTAAAAAATATATTTATATATAATTTTTCACCCCGTGCAACATTTCCCTTGTCGCAACATTCTCCACACCATATACAGTGACCGACCCCCTCAATGTCTGTAATCTGTGTTCAACACTTCTGCGTAAAAAAAAAATATTAAAACTCTAAAAAAAAAATACAAAAAAAATATTTAAAAATATAAGCAATAAATAATAAAAGATTAGATTAGAAAAATTAAGACTATATCCGAAGAATGTGATCTGGACCTGTCGATCCTGCGTCTGGTGGCATAGGTGCATTACACACAGTCGCTGATTTTTTTTAAATAATTAATAGACATATACAAATATTCACTTGTACACTACACCGTATGACAAGTTCATATAAATTTCTGCGATACATAGCGCATAGATTTTGCGTAAATTTACACGAAATTTCATGTAAATTTAAGCGCCATATCGCATAAATCAGCAATGTGTCATACAAGCTTGTTAGCAATTTTGTAGTTTATGCCAACATTGAAGGAGAGGAGATTTTACGCGTTTCTTTGTGTTTCTATGTAGCGCCGCGTAGTCCGAAAGATCTAATACTAATCTGCCCACCGTCCGTAAGGTCTTGGTTACCTAAACAACTTTTATGAAGACAAACACATTTTAGATGGCCAGGATCTCCGAAGACAGTAAACTTCTATGTGTCCAGGATCACGAGATATTCCTTGTTGGAACCAATTAACCCAAACCCAAAAATTTCCCACACAAATGGAGGCGAAAGAGAGAGTCGATGAAGAGAATCGATCAATGTAGATTGGTGTATTTGAAAAGTGACGAGAGATATACAGTTGTGTTCGATAAAATAGCAGCGCATGCTAATTTTCATACAAAATGGTCAACTTTGACATGATGTAACTTTGTTAACTCAGTGCCAACATTTCAAAGGGGCGAAATTGCTTTTGTAAACAATTACTTTAGCCGTCAATTTCTCGCGAATGAAATCTTACCTCTCCAAAATGACAATGCTAACTGGTAGAGGAAACATTCCTCTACCTGCTGGTGTCATTATTTTTCATAAGTGAGCTTTTATTCACGAGAAATCGACGGCTAAAGCCATTGTTTACAAATGCAATTACGCCCCTTTGAAATGTTGGCACTGAACTTATGATCAATTGAGCTGAAACGTTCGTCAAAGAACTACAAATATGTTCAATTTTACGATTACAAAATATTAAATTTTTGGAAGCACCTGTTGGAAAGTGAGACACCAGGTAAGATTGTTCAAAATAATAGCAGTACTAATAATTTTCATTTCAGCAATTTAACAATCCCCACCCAATTAAAAAATGTACATAATAGTTAAAAATGTTTAAAATATTTGCAGCACGTAAATTTTCAAATAAAAACTGCTATTATTTTGAACAATTTTACCTTGTGTCTCACTTTCTGGCAGATGCTTCCAAAAAATTAATATTTTGTAATTGTAAAATTGAACATATTTGTAGTTCTTTGGCGTACGTTTCAGCTCAATTGATCATAAGTTAACAAAGTTACATCATGTCAAAGTTGACCATTTTGTATAAAAATTAGCATGCGCTGCTATTTTATCGAACACAGCTGTATGGAAACCGTATAGCAACGGAAGGATAGCTGTATAGCGTTAATCGGTGAATTATGACTTTATCTAATTGAAGTGAATAAAAATGAAGTACTTCCGTACCCATTCAATTGGATTTGTAGAAATAATTTAACTTTTATTGTGAACACAAAGGTATCGCTTTCAATAATTTATATATAACCATTATAATGAAAAAGATCATTCCATCAACTGAAGCATATTGGCTACCCTGGTGTACCCTACATTGGTTATCTATATCAGTCTCCTATACATTCCGTTCCTATTAGATATAAATAAAGTCCTATAATATCATCCAAATCCAATAAGTATTTATCAGTTGCATCTCTCACCACATGGAATAAGAATACATGTCGACGAAGATTTAAAAAGAACCTATCTGATTTGTTCGATTCTCTTCATCGACTTTCTTTTTTGATTACCACTGCTATACAAACAGATTTCGCGCTATTTTTACCTTGATAAAGGTGGTTCTTATCTAGCGTCCAAAACGTCAAATATAACAGGGAAAGGTTTTGTAGCGGTTATATTAACGAAAGAGAATGTCGATGAAGAGAATTGATCAGTGCAGATAGGACATTTTGAAGTGTGTATCTAGACATGGTAGAAAGTAAATAGACCTAGCCAAAGGAAAACGTAGATAATTGTACCTATATTTTAATACAGAATGCGTTGCAATCAACAACATGGTTACAATAATTCAGTGATTTAATGATAACATCACATTGAAATTTTAAACAGCCCTAAATACGGCCAAACTTTTAAATATTAAAGGGCAATCTTCATTAACATTCTCAAATGCCATTTCTTCTTCGGTAGATACTCAACTGTTCGAATGTACATTTATTATAACAGTTTTCTGTCATCAGTTATTCATGAAAACAATCTGTCAAAAATATTGCTACTGATAAAGTAGGTTTGTTTTTATTTAATTCCCGAAAAAAATTTTGTTCAACTTTATCTGTTACAGAATTGTATAAATTAGCTATAAAGTTTTGATTGCGTAGGAAACCAATGTCAAATAGCTCATCGTATGCAAACAAAGAGTATTGTATCATCAGACTTACTATATTTTGGATTTTGGGCTTTATTCAAATGTAATTCTGAATTTACTTTTCATTTCAATATTCGCAGTGAGTATGATGCACACAGGATGATACATATTTTGAAAATATTAACTACAAATTAACTTTATCAGTAGAGTTGACAACATCTTAAAGAATGCAACCAACAAGTGGAGAACGCTTCTCGGGCATTGTGAATATGGCTAAAGCATTACGAAGGGAACATCTGTTTATATTGCACGAACAAAACTGCTTTGCAAGTTTACATGAAGAGTACGATCAGAACTCTTGTGAAGCTTTACAGGTTTACTGATTGGTTACATTAATTGATAACAGTTGTAATTTATGTATTTTCATTTTTTACAGATTTCATGGACTTGTGCACGTCAACGTCAGATCTTGAACAATCTAATTTTAGCCAAACCAGAGTCAGGGCCTTCAGTTTCTTGCCAAAGAGTTAAATTGCTTGAAAATAGTTATTTCATACATATTCATCAATGCAGGTTCATAAAATACCCGCAAATTGTTGGGACGATTGAGCTCTTGAACTATCTATACGCAAATCCTACAGTTTTAGCAAACATCCTTTCGTTTGCAGATCGCTGTGGTATCACACAAGATAAAACAGATCCTGTCATTACATTCATTGTAAATGGTTTGTATCGGAGTGCAATGTATCCAAAAGATGCGGAAATGGTGATTAAAGTTCTTCAAGTACTGATTGAAACGCAAATTGCAAAAAGTGATAACCCCAGAAGATTGCTTCGTGTCGGCTCATCGTCATTCACGCGATTGTATCAAAAGTATCACGAATCTACCTTCGCGCCGAAAATATTTTTAAAAGCGATTCTCTTCGAACCGATAATGTCTGTTCTAACGGATGATGAACGGAAATGGGAAGTTGATCCTTTGAAAATTATATCTGTTCAAAGCGCTTCTGAAAATGAGAAGATGTTTGGCGAAGAATCGTCACCCGAATATTTGAAAAATCTGCAACGATATAGGAAGGACACAGTTGATCGTTTGTATACACATGTATCAAATTTCATTAAATCGTTCAGTGATAACTGGTGCTTATTTCCATCAACATTACGTTGGCTGTGTCAATCTATGAACCATCTTCTCAAGCCGGCAAATTTATCGAAAGAGGATATACACATAATATTAACAGACTTGATATTTACTAATTTTATCTGCCCCGCAATTTTAAGTCCAAACATTCATGGTATAACTGATGCTCCATTATCAGAAAATACTCGCTTCAATCTAGTACAAATTGGACAGGTGATTCAAACTTTAGCACTTTTCGAAATACAACCTATTGATGATAAACTGAAGGATTTATATGATAAATTTGAAAACAACTGTATAAGAGTGCTCCTTAATCAACTTCATTATGAATCATTCTCCAAGAGTTTTGAAAGCAATAATAAACTGCAATATCAAAATTTGCTGAACAATAAATTAGTTCTCGCATCAAATGATGAATTAAAAACATTGATAAGCTTGCTTAAAGAAACAATGGAGCATGAAATTGAAGCATTCTCTCCAGAAGAAAGCTGCAAATTGAAACAAATTGTAGATCAGTTACCAAATCTGACGGAAATCAATCAACATACTGCAACTTCAATGATTGATTCGGTGCTCCCCAACTATACGAAAAAGACTAAATCAACAATCAAACCGCAAGTTTCTAAATCAAAGAGTATGAATACTTCACCAACACAAATGAACTCTGGAGTCGAGAATATCCCGAACCCATGTAACAATAACAATGTTGCAGAAGTTGTGCTTATAATACCTCTAGCGATGAAGGAGGGAAAAATGTTAAATGAAGACGAGTTTATTAATAATATGTCTGATGAAATTTCAACCACCCCGTTGCAAATAAATTTTAAAGAAGATCATAATACATTAGAAAGTGGAAGAAAGAATGATGGCGATAAACTCAATAATTATTCGCTGGCTCAAGACGACGCATCCATTGGAAACACATCAGATAATCTCGAAGCTGTAAGTGAAGCTCATAGCAACCATTCAGTGGCAAGTTCTCTTGAACTAGAGGAAACAGATCAAAATGACAACGACAATCTCTCGGATATGATATCGGCGAATGTTTCTGGAAGGGGAACTCCCAACATTTCAGGACGTGATACTCCTTCTTCACAAGTTACGGAAGGAGGAGGAGAAGCACAGCATTTTACAACACCTCAAATGACGAAAATTTTAAATAAAACTCGTTCAGATATAGAAGACAAGTTTTGCAAATTTGAAATTAAGAAATTGATGGAGGGAGATGAAACCATATCAATAATTTCCGATACATGGAGTACAGATGTGTTGGCTTCTGATTCAGAACCAATTGAAGTAAGTGAGAGAAACTTCTCGACTCCTCTCATACCTACAACTCCTCTAATGCCAGGCGATCATAATTACAACCCTATAACAAACTCCTTCGGACAGATGCGCCTAAATAATGTAGACTCCGAAACTCAGTCTGAATCAGCTTGGAGTACTGATGCAGTAATGGATACTGACGACAACAGTGTAACAACGCGTAGTGATATAGCTGAATCAGTAGTGAGAGACCGAGACTTGCAAATAGTTTCAAGAAACAACTCCCTAGACTCCTCACTTTACTGCCCGAAGACACTGAGTTTTCGTGGATCTCATACAAGTCTATTGCAAAACTCCTACAATGACAATGGTGTCACCAATTGTTTACATCCAATTGTTTTACCTGTCCGTCAAAGTTCTACAGAAAGCTATCATTCGACTAATGGCTCGGAACACAATAAACCATCTAATGGAAGTGGTATGAATGAGCACAACATACAAAATAATACAATCGAAACGATGGGCTATTTAGAATCTCATACGAGTACAGATACGAATTGTAATATTGCCGAGTGTGTTGATAGTAATGATTCAGCAACCGCAATAGATGTCAATCATAAAAACGGCTGTGTACACGCTAGCATGAAGTCAACGAATCCATTCTCTGACCTGGATTGCATATTCCCATCATCCAATAATAATAATAATAAGAATAATAATAATAATAACAATAATCATTTGAGCAGCACCTCAATCCTCCAGCATACTCTTGATTATGTTCCCAATAATGGTGATGAAGAACTGTCAGTTGAACATCGACGTCTGTCGTCAGAACAACGCAACGCGAAATTTGATTCGCGCAGAAACGGAATGATAGATATTTTGGGTAATTTCTCTAACTCATTCAGCTTTTCCCAACTAAGGGATAAGGATATATCGTATTCGCTTCCAATTACTTCACTCAAACTTCCTGATGATTTCAAAACTGGTGGTGCATCGAGCATGGTGAGTCTCTGTTGGTCAGTGATTATAGCATTAAAAAAATGATATTTTTTCAGGTGGTTGAATCAAGCAGTTTCTTATCGAACAGAGCTTCTAATTGTCTGAAAATAGTAAATAAACAATCCCATGCAAATTTTAATAGTGCAGAAGTGATTGGAACGGAAAAACAACGCCAGCAGGACAGTGAACTGAAACAATCATGTTCCAATACTTCCGCTTCGAAATACAATGCGAAGGCGACTGGAACAATTCCAAAGAGTATTAGCTTCGATTCTTCAGCCGACAAAACAAATCGCAATGATTCCGCTGTAAACAGTCCACCGGGAGCCTCTCGCTTTTCTGATGGTTTAAAAACTAATCCCGGGTTTTTCACAAAAATCAAACTTGGGTTCAAAAATCGTCGTAATGTAAGCGTCAATAACAAATCGCGTTTCAGTTACACAAATAACGGACAAATTTGTGCCGTTTCCGTTCCACATAACAATGGTATGGATTGTACGAATGATACAAGTGAAGACATCCTCGCCAAATATCGCCGAAAAACGTCTACTTCCAGTGATGCAGCCACAACTGATACAACAAGCAAAATGTTTAGCTCAAGTAAGAGTAAAAATGGAGACTGCGATCTCAGGTATGCATTGCTATAGAAACAGTACCGGACACAAAGTACCTTATTTTTCATTTCATAAAAGTTCGAAAAGTTTTTGCTATTCAGACATTTCTTGAATTTTGGCTGCTGGATTATCAAATATTCTAAATTTATCGGTATAGTTTTAGGATTGATTGACTGACAATATTTTTTTTTGAAAAACGGTTTTTTAGTACTTGCTATTTTTTATGTACTAAAACTTTGGCTGCAAATGAACTTTTTTTTTACAAATTTGAATCATTATATTAAAAAAAGTAGTTTTAAAAGTGTATCAAAAATGTAAGGCTGAAAGTCTCTCTAATAAAGCAAAAAAAAAAGAGTGCCAGAAAACCTATTTTGCTAAAATTGATCAAATTTCATACAGAATTAGTCAATTAAGCCGACCACAACATATAAAGAAGATTGGCAATTCTACAATTTTCTCATACGCCCACTATGAGAGACACACACTAGTGTCATCTACTGGTAAATCATTCGAAAGAATTTGAAAGCAAAGATTTCAACCTCAGAAGAGAGGTTCGTGTTTTTGTTAATCATTCTATGCGTTGCGATCATTCTGTCAAAGTTGCCAGTCTTCTTTGCATGATGTCTTCGATAGATCCCAAAACTGTGCCGAAATTTCTTGAATATTTGATGATCCAGCAGCAAACATTTAAAAAAATTGGGTTTCCATCCTGAAAAATTACGGTTTTTTGAGTTTTTATGGCGAAAAAAAAAAATAATCTCGTTGTGATATACTTATTTCCGGTACGCTGTGTCCGAAATGGCGGATGAATCAAGTTTCATGTACATCGGGTTTTGCATCAAAAGTTAGTTTATGTGCTAAGATTCTAAAATCTGTTGCTTTTAAAATATTCTATCGGGGGGAAATCGAATAATTATATTTTATTATAATATTCCATACATATAATAGGATAAGGCTAAGAAGAGCCAAAACGCCCTATTTAAGAATGCACCACAAATTTTCATGCCCCATGTTTACGATTTCTGGTATTGTGGATAGATTCTTCAGTATATTCAATATCTCGGACTCAACTAGGAGCATTTTTAATTTAGTGCTGCCAATGGTGAAAACTTTTTTGAACCAACTAGCTCCTAGCTGGTGCTTCATTGCATTGATCATATCCTTTGATGGATAACCCTCCGAATGAGGTCGGGGAAATGATCTCTGTTCTTCAGTGGAACTGTAGAAGTCTTATACCAAAACATGACGCATTTAAATTTTTAGTTCACAACTCACTCTCTGATTCATTTGCTCTTTGTGAAACATGGCTCTCATCAGACAACGATCATGCTTTCCATGATTTCAACATTATTCGCCTTGACCGTGCAGATTCGTATGGAGGTGGACACAACATAGTTATTTTTGAAGCAGTAGATAGAATAGAGTGTAAGCTTGTAAACAAAAGTAGACTTTAATTCTAGTAATAAATGAAGTGAGAAATGCTCGCTGCACATCTCGGACATTAAGTGTAAATATTCATTTGTGTTGATTCAAAACTGAAGATTTACCTACTTTTTGCATATCTATAGTAAACTATGATCCTAATCTATTAAAACCTTTAAAGAAAAACAAATTTCAACAACTGAGTGAAAAGTTATCAACAAGCTCCATTCCTTTCATAGAATCGATCTTAGGTGACAGGCGTTGAAGTTTTTGCATGTCAGATTAAAATTCGAGGTAAATGCATCAGTATTGCCTCAGTATATCTTCCACCGAGAACTGCGATTTCTCGTCAAAGTTTCTCGGATATCTGCACAGTTATGCCAGCGGCACGGTTGATCTTGGGAGATTTAACTCTCACGGTACAAACTGGGGGGAACTGTACGACGACAACCGCTCAACGTTGATATACGACATGTGCGACATCTTCAAAATGATAATTCTGAACACCGGGGAAGCAATACGAGTAGCCAAACCTCCAGCAAGTGTAAGAAGATTAGACCTCTCACTTTGTTCAACATCACTATGGTTGGATTGCTCGTGGAAAGTAATCCAAGATCCCTACGGTAGTGATCATTTGCCAATAAAAATATCTGTTACCATTAGTTCATCTTCTTCGCGTACGTTCGCGTACGATCTTACGAAAAACATTGACTGGCGAAAAACGGCCTCGGTGGTGTAGTGGTAAGCGTGATTGCCACTTACCCAAAAAGGCCTGGGTTCAATTCCTGTCGGTACCGCCGGGATTTTCTGAAAGTAAAAGTAAAGCTGAAAGTAAAGCCGTTGGTCGGTTCATGAGTTGATGGGTCAATATGTAGGGTCTAGGTGTGTGAGCTGTCTCCCTGGCATCGGTAGCATTGGTGCTTAGCACGGAAAACAAGATCGACGGAAAACAAATCATGGAAAAAAGCGATTCTTGATGCCAGTCAATCGGTAAAAATACTTCTTCCCCTGGACGAGTACTCCTTTTTCGCGCACTCCTTTCTACATTTAAGTGAACTGCGATAAAAACTGTTCGGTGTAGCCTCGGTTCACTACTCAAGTCTGCTCGTAAGGCGAAGTAAGTAAACTAAGCACCTAAGCATACCATTCATGATGAAAAATTCGATGCATATGAAAGTTGATTAATCCGCCATTTCGGACACGGCGTGTGGTACTGTATCTGAGCCAAAAGTAGAAAATAATTTTCAAATTTTTTTTCAGGAAAAGCTTAGAACAAACATCAACTGAGAATTCTGTCAGTTTATCTACTATAAAGAGAAAGCTTCGAGTTATACTATCCAGCATGGAGGTTTTTTCATGTGATTTCGAAAATTTCGACGTAAGATTATTGCATGTCAAGTTTGAATCACTAATATGACAAGTTTTGATATTTTTTTCCAGACTGATTCTTCAACACCATTACTAATCTATCTACGGATACTACAAGCACAGGCTCTAAATAATAATAATTTACAACAGCTAGCAGGTGTTTCCGAGCTTTTCCGTTGCATTCAATCCATTGATATGGAATCCCAAGAAGTATTATTGAAGGAGCTGCATAACGACATATTGGTTCGGAAATCCTACATTCAATATTTGATGGATTGTCGACAGACATTGTTATCTGCAATTGATAACGTAGAAACACTTAAGGAACATCTTAAACTTGACAGCCAACTATCGATACATCATATCATTATGACATGTGTTAATATGTTTCTGGATAAAAGGGAACAAAGTGTACAGAAGTTTCATAATGAATTCGTGCAGTTAACAGTGGCAGACGAGAAAAATGACTTATTGCATGTATTTTTGAAAACATTAATGGATGAACTTCGGACAGATACTGTGCTGAGATGCATGACCGAATGGCAAACTTCGGAGGCCGAAAATTGTGCAGAAAGTATACTGCTGCATAGGCTTTACCAGTTTGTTATGTTTCCCAATGATGACGGCGACATTTCCCGCGATCTGTAAGTATTATTGATTCGAAACACTGTAAAGTATTCACAGCCTAGATTCAAAGAAAAAAACAAATTGGTAGCAAATAAACTAACTAGACGTTCGCTAACTGAGAAACTTTTAATTGATTGCCTCTCACCCCAAAGGGGGGATATTCTGAGGCAATAAATATCTGAAATATGGAAGAAAAGTAAACCCGTTGGTCCCCGGTCCATGAGTTGATGGGTCAATATGTAGGATCTAGGTGTGGCAGCTGCTTCCCTGGGGTCGGTAGCACTGGTACCCAGTACGGAAAGCAAGATCGACGGAAAACAAATAAAGGAAAAAAAACTGAAACAAATTTCAGTTAAACGGCATTCATCTGTCAAATTTGTGCATTTCAGAATATAAAAATTAACTAAATGAACACGGGGATGATCATTGATGCATTTTAAATGCATTTGATAGCTGGTTTGACACATGAAATGAATTTCATTTATTGAATGTCTTTAGCTAAGTGAAAAGTAAACATGTTTCAGTTTTTTTTCCTTGATTTCCCGCATAAACGCGAACCATAAATTGACCTTACCTAAAATGGTTAAAAATTGTTTATAATCCCTGCTAAACTTTAACTGAAATGGTTATGGAACTTTACATGAACGTTTAATGATAAAGTTTCAACCTTATGTATTATGGTTTTTTGGAACTGGACCTTACAAATAATGGGTTGTTAAGAACCATTACCATTCCAAATTCTTGTTTTCTCCATACATTTTCAGAAAGAGAACTATATAAGAACGTTTTTACTTATGATTTGAGAACATTAATGGTAATGGTTATGGTAGTCAGTAAGGTCCATTAATGGTTTTGTATTATCGCTCAACTTTACGTGGAATATATCGTGAATTGGTAATCAGCAAATTACAGGCAACCAATTCGCGATATATTCCACATAAAGTTGATCGATGTTACAAAACCATTCGTGGACCTTACTGACTACCATAACCATTACCATTAAAGTTCTCAAATCATAAGTAAAAACGTTCTTATATAGTTCTCTTTCTGAAAATGTATGGAGAAAACAAGAATTTGGAATGGTAATGGTTCTTAACAACCCATTATTTGTAAGGTCCAGTTCCAAAAAACCATAATACATAAGGTTGAAACTTTATCATTAAACGTTCATGTAAAGTTCCATAACCATTTCAGTTAAAGTTTAGCAGGGATTATAAACAATTTTTAACCATTTTAGGTAAGGTCAATTTATGGTTCGCGTTTATGCGGGTTGTTTTCCGTCGATCTTGTTTTCCGTGCTGAGCACTAATGCTACCGACGCCAGGGAGGCAGCTCCCACACCTGGACCCTACCTATCGACCCATCAACTCATGAACCGGGGACCAACGGCTTTACTTCCCTTCCGAAGGAAGGCGTGATCAGAGATGTTATGCCTCAGAACATCCCGGCGGCGCTGACTGGGATTGAACCCAGGCCTGCTGGGGTGAGAGAACATGTTTCAGTTACCGAACGTCGAGTGTATCATTTTCCTGCAACACGTCAAATTAGGACCACCCACAATGGATCCGATTGCGTTAGGTTTGCGTTAATTTGACAGTTAACCCATGGATTAATTTACGTCAACGCATTGTGGGTGGACGAAAAGGTATTTTTGTGCTTCTCTTAAGTATATATTTTCAAGCTACTGGTGTTAATTCAATGGGTGAACAGACAACAATTTACCTTAAACCATTTGAATTTAGTACGCTACGCAGCCGATGAGAGTAACTCAAAATTGCATAAGACGGGGTACTCAGGGATGCGCAAAATTTTCCACGATTTTCCTGAATAATCGGTTCGAATATCGATGCCAATCTTACTGAATTCTGCATATCAGACTGGCACCGTACACACTTAATTTTATTTGCTGAATCCCGGCAAGTTGCTGAATCTCAAGCATTCTACAAGTTTGGAGGGGAGAACTAACTTAATCACGCTTGGGCGAACCCAAGATATACACTGAAACCTCCGTTTACGAAGTCTTTTTTACGCAGTATTCAATTTACGACCCTCTTTTTACGAAGTAAATCCCAAATAACGAGGTTTCGTTTAACGAAGTAACCCCCAAATAACGAGTTTTTTTTTAACAAAGTAAATCCCAAATAACGAGTTTTCTTTTTACGAAGTAAATTCCAAATAACGAGCTTTTTTTTGCGATTATGGGAATCTGGGAAAAACTATGCAATATCCCACAATATGGGTATCTTTGAAATCAGAGTGAGATGTAGGAACCGGAAACCCATGTCTGACGCCATTTTGAAATCCAAGATGGTGACGTGAAGGAACTGGAAATCTATATTTGACGTCATCTTGAAATCCAAGATGGCGGCTTCCGGTTACAGAAAAACTTGGACATTCTGCCATATACAACACAAAATGGGTATTTTTGGAATCGGACTGACATGAAGGGACCAGAAATCGATATCTGACGCCATTTTGAAATCCAAGATGGTGGCTTCCGGTTACATAAAAACTTGGAAATTCTGTCATATGCCCCACAATATGGGTATTTTTGAAATCAGGGTGACGTGTAGGGACCGGAAATCGATGTTTGACGCCATTTTGAAAAAATTTTAAATATGGCGTCTTGGGCACGAATTTAAAAATAGTTTGTATGAGCTGTCACGTCGGTTCGTCGGTGATAAAAGTTCCATATGAATTTTTATCTGAAATGTGTTGCTCATTAGAATCGATTGTAAACTACCTGTATTTTACACTGTGCACTAAAAGTCACGTGTTTTTTTTCAGATCAATTAGCGTTGCAATAGCTAATGTATCCACCAGCTCAACGTATTTGAACCTCTCGTTAAACCGCAGTGAATTTTTTTCCGCTAAATCTTTCACTGAATCCATGTTCAACGCAATTATTGAGCAAAGGTGAAGACAAAAAAAATCAATATTAAATTGCAAATGCAAATGCACTGAAAACAAATTTTTTGTGTCGAAACAAACATCGAATGAAAAGGATCGATCCAGTCGATTTTTGTCGTGGTTGAGATTAATTAAAAAAATTGATTAATCGAACCAAAACAATCGATCTTTTGTGCTTCGATCCAAGATCGCCCATTGCTATATAGGACCCAATAAACTATTATGGGTTAAAACAAGTGGAATGGCAATAAATTAAAAAATAGGTTATTTTTATTTTGTAAAACACATTTATTTTTCAATATATTTCTCATTTTACTACATATTTTATATACATTATGTATTACATGATTATAAATAAATTTATAATGGAAATTACAATAAATACTGGGACGGAAGGGAACATCAGGGCATCATTGTCAAGTTGTAACTGGACAATGGAGTGGAGTGCCAACCGGAGGCTAGGAAGCACGCAAAAAAAAATATTTTAAACGTAATAATATTTGACGTAAAATCAATAAGAAATTCATTTTGTTTTGGCTGCAAAAAGAAATCATTATTGTTTCAACAATCCAGTATTTTTGTTTCTAAAAACCCATGGATTGTTAAATCAAAAAGAAAATCTTTTAGAATTTACAAGAGCATTCATGGTTTTGACGTAAGCTGTCAAATTTGGCAGCTGGGTTAACAACAAAAATATGTTTGTTTTTAAAAGAGATTTCTTGTTGATTCAATCTGACAATTCACGCAGTAGCAATAAAAATGTGTTTATTGATGTAAAAATAATATGGCAATTTTTTTTATGTTTCGTTTTCATTTTGAAACAAAATTGCAGAAATTGTAATTGAATTTCTGCCCCCGGTTCATGAGTTGATGGGTCGATATGTAGGGTCCAGATGTGGGAGCTGCCTTCCTGGCGTCGGGAGCATTGGTACTCAGTACGGAAAACAAGATCGACGGAAAAAAAATAAAGGAAAAAAAAAACAGAAAAATTGATTATATTTATTACCTGCAGCTCGAATTGCAGCATACTTACTTAACTCAAGTCTCAAGATTTTCGAAAATCTTGCACTTATTTCCCGAAATTTACAATTAAAAACAATACTTACGTGGAACGCGTAAGTATTGTTATTGTTTACATTTTTGTTCGGGTAAAAACGAGGGAATGGTTGGTATTTATTTTTGCTTTAATGGCCCAGAGAATGGACACAGCAAATAAATGCTAAATTAAAATTAACTATTGTTGGCTTAATAATAGAATATTGTTATTTTTACAATAGTTGCATTTGAAAAGTGGCAGATTAAAACAAAAAGAATCCTATTTTGAATTTATATGAATAAGTATTATTGAAACAACAAAAAGCAATATAATTTCAACTGGAATTGTTTGCTTAAATACAATTAAAGATTTTTTTGGTTCAATACAAACAATTTTCTGTCCGTGAGGAATGTGTACTGTCATTTTAGATAGCTATACATTTCACTTCAACAGTTGCAATTACTTTGACGCGCTCTTCTTAAACAAACTATCCCGTAGAAAGCTTAACATGTATTGCGAATTTCGTAATTCGTTTTGTTGGATCATATTGTTGGAAGGAGATTCCCGCGGGTTTCGCGTAAGTGTCTCTGCTTACGGGCCCGTCCAACCCCTTTTGGCCCTTCATACAGCAATATGAACTCTGGTAACCCTGCTGTGCTTTGAAGTTGTGTTCTTCTGTCGTGTTGTTTATTTTCCAATTATCCCGTTGAAATCGCCGAATAAAATGGCTCATTGCTTTTTCAAACAGCAAAAATGGCTGTGTTGAACTCTTGGTGTTGAACAGCCGGTACCACGGATAACATAAAAACAGATCTTTATTTTTCCATTCCTTATCATTGGTGGTGGTGGGGCTACTTAGCACGAATGAATGGTTGCTCGCAAAAAATGGCGATGGAAGTGAAAAAACTGATCTGCGGATAATCGAGTACATTTGAAGACGTTTAGAAATACATTTCATTTTGAGTAAAATAATATTATACGCTCTATACTTAATGGAAATAAAATGAATATTAGAATGTAACTAAGTCAATCCATCTTTTGTGGGGATTAGAAAAGTGTAAAATGAATCATGAACATGATAATGAAAAAAAAGAAATATGCTCAGAAACTATACAAACCGTTTATTTGCGCGACTGATTATTTTGCTATTTTCTACACCGTGTAACAGGGCTCGGTACCTGGGTACCACTTCACAATCATAATGTTTTCTTTTAGTATTGTATAAATATGCCTGCACTATAGTTAAAAAAACATTGTTTTCTTTTTCGTTTCCAGGGTTTTATATGTACATATAAACAAACTATCAAAGTCGATCACACCTGATCATTCTCAGTTACGCATCTCGGGTACATATCTGAATGAAGCTCCATGGCCGTTTGCGCAAAGGCAGTTATCATTTATTTCGGCATACAGAACTCCACAGGATAAAGTCAACTGCGTTATCAAGTATGTGTAGTTTAATGAGAAGTTGTGTTCTGTGAACTAACATTTGTTTCTTTTTTGTCTGTTAAGGTGCATCAAAAGTCTTCTTAGTCTGCTGTCAATAGGGTCCGAGAAACCAGTTGCTGCGGACGATATTATACCTGTTTTAATATATGTTATTGTAAAGGTAATCATCGATAGGTAACATTAAATTTAAATCACGTATATTTTAATTATTTTTTTTTAGACCAACCCTCCACATTTGTTATCAACAATCGAATATGTTAACTGTTTTATCGGTGAAAAATTATTTGGAGAGAACGAATATTGGTGGACACAATTCTGCTCAGCAATTACCTTTATCAAAACTATGGATTATAGCGAATAACAAGCATGCATGTATATTGGTAGCATGGAACAAAAGGCGATCAAAAAAGAGAAATGTATATAGTGGAAATAATATATAATATGTAACTAATACCCTCAGAGCGTTATTGTTTGAGAAACAATGTAATTTGATGATTCCGAGCATTTTATATAAATTTAGTGAAGTTTCCTGCAAACATTAAAGTTTATACTGACATGTGTCATTTATAATTTAAACACAACTTATGGAAATGTAAAAATGTGATGATGACCATGAAGAAGAAGAAGCCTTGATCAGTATCTGTCACGGGAACGATAACGTATGCTGGGATGGCAATTTACACCTAATTATCGCTGACTTTGATAAGTTATACCGAAATATCATCATCTGAACCAGTGGCGTGCACAGCGGGGGGGGGGGGGGCATGGTGGGGCAAATGACCCACCTTTTATAAATAAATATATTGCCTGAAAATTGCACCACAAAGGTGCATGAAGGAACAAATTTCAATTAAATTTTTTGGTCAAAAAATTGCACCACATTCCTGGTGTAATTTATTTTTTCAAGTTTGTTCATGGAGGGTTAAAAGAAAAGGGTAAATTTAAGGTTGAAAAAATTCACCTTCGTGGTGGAAATCGAAGAAAAAGCTTTTTATTGAATATTTCTGGTGTAAAAATATCATCAAGGTGGTGCATGGAGGGACTTATGAAAATTAATAGCTCTGGTTCTAAAATTGAATCGCACTAAAAATTTGGAGGTGCACATTTATCTGAAAATTTCTGGTGGAAAGTTCGCAACACTGTGGTGAATGTAATTGCAAGATTGATTTATTTTTCTGGTGCAAAATTTGCATCATTCTGATGAATGCAAGCTTCATTGAAAATGTATGGTGGAAAATTTGCACCATTCTGGTGCATGAAGAGGCAAAGCCTGAAGGTGCATAGTGAAACAAACTTCTCTGACAATTTTTGGTGCACCGTTCTGGTGAATGGAGGAGCATGCTCTATTGGAAATTTCTGGTGCAAAATTTGCATCGCTTTGATTAATGAAATTAACAGAAAAGTTCTTTGATTATTGAAATGAACAGAAAACTTGCACTAGTCTGGTAAATGAAGGCACAAGCTTTATTTAAAATTAAGCTAAATTGAAAATTTCTGGTGGAAAATCTGCACCGTACTGGTGAACGGATGGGCAAGCTTTTCGGAATGTTTTTGGTTTTAAATTTGCATTCTTCTGCTGAATAGAGAAACAAATTTTAATAATAATTTCAGGTATAACAGATGCACCGTTCTGATAATTGGAAGGAAGCTGCTTTACTGAAAATTTATGATAAATAAATCCGAAAATAGGGGCAAAATTTATTTGGTGGAAAACCTGCAACATTCTGATGAAAGGAGAAGCCAGCTATGTTGAAAATGTTTGGTGGAAAATGGAAAAAGGAAATCTGCACCAATCAGAAGATTGGAGAAGCAATTTTTATTGAACATTAACGGTGAAAAATTTGCATCGCTCTGGTCAATTGAAATTTTCTGGTGTAAATTTTTCTGGTGGCAAGTTTGTATTGAAAATTTCTGGTGTAAGATTTGCAACATTCTTCTGCATGGAGGGGCAAGCTGAATTGAAAATTCCTGATATAAAAATTGCACAGTTCTCGTGAATGGAAGGGCAAGCTTTATTGAATATTTGTGGTAGAAAAACTACGACGTTTTGGTGAATTAACGGACAACTTAAATTTGACTTCCGAGAAGAGTCTCAAGGGTATTGAATTCGGAGGACAGTTCCAAAAGAAAAGATTTCTGGTGATGATTTCATGAAAATTCTGCGAATAATTTCTAGTGAATCCTGCAGATAGTTCCAAGATAATTTCGAAAAGAATACCGAGTAAATCAAATTTTTAATGAAATTCTAAAGGGAGATTGAGGAAAATTTCAAGGGAATTCCGAGGATAATTTTAAGCTCATTCTGGGAAGAATTTCTGGAGAATACAGAGGAAATTCTTCTGAAGGTTTAAGGGAATTTCAGTTCCAAGGTGTTCTGAGAAAAAAAAATCTAAAATATTCAGAGAAGAACCTCAAGGATATTGAATTCTTAGCACAGTTCTAAAATATTTCTGGGAAGAATTCAAAGAAAATTCTACGGATAATTTCTAGTGCATCCTGCAGATAGTTCCAACATAATTTCGAAAAGAATACCGAGAAAATCAAATTTTGTGTGATTTTAAGCAAAATTTCAAGCGAATTCCGAGGATAATTTCTAGCTTATTCCGGGAAAAAAAATTCTGAAACTCTAAAGGAATTTGAGTTCCAAAGTGTTTTGAGAAAATTTCAGTGGACTTCTGAGAAGAAATTCAAAAGAGCTCATAGAGTTCTAAAAATTTCGAAAAGAACCTCAAGGAATTCTGAGGATGGACTTTTTCGCAACTGTACAAAGTTTAAAGACAGCTTTGGGATTCCTTGATTGAAAAGTGGGTATTAGTTTGTCATTGAACCTTGGTCTATTTTTGTCTTACTAAGAATTAGTCTAAGAATCTTTCTCTGAAAATTTTAAGTCATTTGAATTGCCCTAATGATTAATAAAATTTACAGCTGTTTATGTGCAATACATTCGGGATTGTCCTTTATATCATCTTTAAAACATGACAGCCGGATAAAGGAGAAGTTCAGAGCCGGGGACAATTCCGTAGCCCTTAGGAGATCGGTAGCAGAGCTGACCGGATCGTACCCAAACTACATGCATCGTTACACGGACGGGTCAAATTCTAGAGCTGGAGCACTAGCGTGCACAGGAATCTTGTTAAGAAGGGGCATTTTTTTTCTATGGTGCTTTAATCTGGGGATGGGGAGTACTCCAAAGTGCGTGGGGGATGGTTCTGTCCACCCACCACTGTTTCCCTACTGTTCAATTTAGCTAATTTTATTTTATTTTTCCTCCGGTGGTGGTTCATCTTCTTCAATGCCTTTTAGACAGCCAATGGAAATCTGCCATCACCTGCTCCCAAGAAATCTGTATCGCTGTCAGGACCTCAGCAATAGTATTGAAGATGGTCGTTGCGTCTGTTTTCAACATCCATCCCACACCCACGAATGTTTCCGTCGGCCGATCATTATCAGTATACCTGATGACAATCGCCAACTGCTCGCAAGGTTTTCGCAATGTTCCGCAACATTACATTCAGTTACATTTCGCTTTTGAAATTCTTCTCAGAAGTCCTCTGGAATTATTTTTTGAACTCTTCTTGACTTTTACTCAGAACACCTTGGAACTGAAATTCCCTTAGAATTTCAGAAGAATTTCCTGAGTATTGTCCAGAAGTTTTTCCCGGAATGAGTTAGAAATTATCAGTACTCCCTTGAAGTTTTCCTCAAAATCCGTTTGGAATTTCACTCAAAATTTAATTTTCTCGGTATTCTATTCGGAATTATGTTGGAACAATCTGCAGGATTCACTAGAAATCATTCGTAGAATTTTCTTCTCCCCAGAAATCCTTTCAGAATTCAATATCCTTGCGGTTCTTCTCGGATTTTGTTAGAACTCTCCTAAGAGCTCTTTTGAAATTCTTATTGGAACTGACATTCTTTTAGAGTTCCAGGAATTTTTCCTGGAAAGAGCTAGAAAATATCTTCTGAATTCATTTGATATTTTGCTTAAAATCCCTTTGGAACTTCACTCAAAATTTGATTTTCTCGGTATTCTTTTCGAAATTATCTTGGAGCTATCTGCAGGATTCGCTAGAAATTATTCGCAGAATTTTTATGGAATCATCCCCAGAAATATTTTCTTTTGGAACTGTCCTCAGAATTCATTACCCTTCAGGTTCTTCTCGGAAGTCAAGTTTAAGTTGTCCATCTATTCACCAAAACGTTGTAGTTTTTCTACCAGAAATGTTCAATAAAGCTTGCCCCTCCATTTACCAGAACATTGAAATTGTTACTCCAGGAATTTTCAATTCAGCTTGCCCCTTCATGCAGCAGATTGTTGCAAATCTTACACCAGAAATTTTCAATACAAACATGCCCCAAGAAAATTTGACATCAGAAAATTTCAATTGACCAGAACGATGCAAATTTTCCACCGTTAATGTTCAATAAAAATTGCTTCTCCAATCTTCTGATTGGTGCAGATTTCCTTTTTCCATTTTCCACCAGACATTTTCAATATAGCTTGCTTCTCCTATCATCAGAAGGTTGCAGATTTTCCATCAAATCAAGCTTGCCCCTATTTTCAGATTTTTCATCATAAATTTTCAGTAAAGCAGCTTTCCATCCAATCATCAGAATGGTGCAAATTTACACCAGATTTTTTTCTCTCTATTTAAGAGATTTTTAGCCGCGGGCTGGTTCATCTCCGGCGCACCAGAAAATATTATTAGAGTTTGTTTCTCTATTCAGCAGGAGGATGCAAATTTTGCACCAAAAATTTTCCGAAAAGCTTGCCCATCCGTTCACCAGAACGGTGCAGATTTTCCACCAGAAATTTTCAATATAGCTTAATTTTAAATAAAGTTTGTGCCTTCATTTACCAGACCAGTGCAAGTTTTCCACCAGAAATATTCGGTTCATTTCATTTATCAGAGCTATGCAAATTTTGCACCAGAAATTTTCAATAAAGCAAGCCCCTCCTTGGCCAGAACGGTGCACCATAAATTGTCAGAGAAGTCTGTTTCACCATGCACCTTTGTGGTGCAATTTTCAGACTTCGCCTCTTCAAAACATTTTCAATGAAGCTTGCATTCATCAGAACGATGCAAATTATGCACCAGAAAAATGAATAAACCTTGCTTCTACATTCACCACAGTGTTGCGAACTTTCCACCAGAAATTTTCAGTTAAATGTGCACCTCCAAATTTGTAGCATGATTCAGTTTTTCCACCAGAGTGATTCATTTTCATAAGTCCCTCCATGCACCACCTTGATGATATTTTTACACCAGAAATATTCAATAAAAAGCTGTTTCTTCGATTTACCACCACGAAGCTGGATTTTATCAACCTTAAATTTACCCTCTTCTGAAAAAAAAAAATTACTCCAGAAATTTATTATATGCAATTGTGGTGCAATTTTTGACCAAAACATTTCATTGAATTTTGCCCCTTCATGCACCTTTAAGGTGCAATCTTCAGGCACCATCTCAAAGGAATTGACGTAATAAAAAGTTTTCAGTGCCCTTATATTATGAAATGAAGTTATTTTACCTTCCAATCAAGAAGAGATAAACCAGCCTCTGGCTGAAAGTCTCGCTAATAAAGATAACCTAACCTAACCTTCAAATCAAGGTATTAAGAAATGAAGTTATTTTATATCATAATTTTGTAAATGTGGAAATAAAAATCTTATTTATAAAAGGTGGGGAAATTGCCCCACCTTGCCCCACCCTGTGCACGCCAGTGGCTGGAGTCGGAATGGGAATCGCTGGTGACATTTCCCCAACGAGTAGAAGTCTGCCAAAACAATGTTCGGTGTTCTCGGCAGAAGCAGCGGCTATTCTTCATGCCGTCACGGTTCCTGCGGATCACCCAGTCCTGATCCTGTCGGACTCCCACAGTGTTATTCAGGCCCTTTCGTCGGAGGTCCCGGTCCACCCCTGGATTCAGGGCATCTTGAAGGTTGCACCACCAAACACTGTAGTCACCACGAGCAGTTGGCGATTGTCATCAGGTATATTGATAATGATCGGCCGACGGAAACATTCGTGGGTGTGAGACGGGTGTTGAGACGCGACGACCATCTTCAATACTAAAGCTGAGGTCCTGACAGCGATGCAGATTTCTTGGGAGCAGGTGATGGCAGAATATTTTGACGTTGCCAGCCCAATGGCTGGCAGCACTGCTGGAGTACAAGCCAAGTGCAAGAACGAAAACAGCAATATACTTTTACGAAGAGCTTTGAGTGTGTTTGTTTATTTCCTTTTAATTCCGTTATACATAATTGCTTAACTTTTGACAGATGCGCGTATTTCGTCTACTACTTGCAGACTTCATCAGTGCCAAGTACTCAACACCACTGATCAAGATTGGATTGATCAAGAGCAATATACTGTTTGTTCACTGTTTGAAACATGTACTTGTCGACGCAGTGTGCATACGAAAGGAGAATGCGATTCTTATTGGTCATTCATGTCGGTTTTTCGGTGCTATCACCACCATCTGAAGTGACTTCAGCTGAATTCAACCACCAAGGCAACAACATTGCAGCAAATGTATCATTTCGGTTAAAGGCCTACTATTGCAACCATTTGACGAACTGATCATCATCGACATTGTCGATTGGATTAAATTGCCAATTACATTGGCTGTCTGAAAGCAGTTTCCATTGAAGATGATGAACCACCACCGGAGTAAAAAATGAATAAAATAAGCTAAATTGAAAAGTAGGGAAACAGTGGTGGGTGGACATCACCATCTCTCACGCACATTGGAGTACTTCTCAACCCCAGATTAAATGCACCATAGAACAAACAATAGCCCCTCCTTCACAAGAATCCTGTTCACGCTAGTGAGCTGAATTGTTCGATAACATTTAGACCGTTCAATTTAATTGTTCTATATCTACAATAAAACGATAGCGGCACCGGTGGTATAGTGGTAAGCGTGATTACCTCTCATCCCAGCAGGCCTGGATTCAATCCCAGTCGGTGCCGCCGAGATGTTCATCTCTGATGTTAAGCGGGAGGGGGTTTTACATGCACGTTTTTTCAAGTCTCATTCCTCATTGTGGTGGATAAGCTGTGATCCATCTTTAGCCGCTAACCTAGTCCTGCTTGATGCAGGACCTAGTGCCACGCCGTCCGAAGCGGTAATGAGCAGTGGCATGAGAGCAGCGCTGATTTATATCTTTTCAGGTTCAAGCAGAATGATGTGCAACCAAGTGGTATTCGTTTATGATGACTGGGTTTGGGAAAAAGGCTTATTTAATGAAATCAGTAATAAAATTATCATTTGTACATTTTCAAAAGTTTAATTGCAGAAGAATTGGAAAAATATTTATTTCAACAGGTTTGTAATGTAATATCCTATCGATTGTCGTATTTGGATTTTAATTTCATTTATAAATGACAAAGTTACAAGCGTTCAAAACCTAACACTCCTTCACCACACATATTTTTTGATTTGCACCCCAGTATAGTCGACAAGGACGTAGTTCTACGTTAAAAAAATGTATACTTTGAGTCTACAATAAAACGAAACTCCTCTACAGTGACAAGATTTGATCATTTGAATAAGATTGAACGTGCTTAAAAATTATTTTTGAGATATATACGCTTCAATATGAAGATGAAAGTTTGACCGAACGTTCAGCTGTTGAGATTTCGGCAATAATTTTGGAGTGTGTATATTCTAAAGCCTGTTCTAGTTAGTATTTGGCCGCTTCTTTTTAATTATTGTACCGTCTCTGGCAAGATACTGTTGACAGCGTTTTGATCTGGAAGGATTGTTTATTCAGTTCTGAAAATTTCATCAGGATTCATACACACGTTTAAAAGTTATCGAATTCTCTCGCGTTCCATAGACGAGAAAAAATTCTGTACACTCTCGTTAAAATCCCAACGTGGTCAAATGGAATGATCGCAAAGGTTCTCAAATTTCCAAAATCGACTGTAAATACCGTACTTAAACGTTAACGGGAAACACTAACGTTGGATGACCGGAAATTACGAGCGAAGATCATTAGGGCAATTCAAAAGAATCCTGGGATCTTCGGACGTGATTTGGCGAAAAGGTTCAGTGCGGCGCATAGAACAGTTCGGTGATGTATGCGAGAAGGTTTTCGGTCGTATAATCCCAGCAAACATTCCAACAGGACGCTGAAACAAAACCTGTTTCCGGAGTTGGTTGGAAATGCTAACATGAAGCTTTAGTGTGATGATTTATTAGCTAGAGAATGATCTTTGGAAGAGGGTAGGTGGATAGTTCCGTTAGAGTACGGCAGTATGAAAATTGAATAGAAGTTGAAAATGAGCGAAGGGCCATTAAAGCGACAGTTTACAAGATGGACGCACATTTTTGCCTAGCCCGTACGATGTACGCGGGGACTTGAAGTATGTCTCCAAGTCCACAGGCAAAAATGTGCGTCCATCTTGTAAACTGTCGCTTTAATGGCCCTTCACTCATTTTCAACTTCTATTCAATTTTCATACTGCCGTACTCTAACGGAACTATCCACCTACCCTCTTCCAAAGATCATTCTCTAGCTAATAAATCATCACACTAAAGCTTCATGTTAGCATTTCCAACCAACTCTGAAAATCGTTAACTTCGCGTATGAAGTAACATAAAAAACACTTTGAATGGAAAACCTGTTTGCCAAAAACTGTACAAGGAAGCTGTACGAGCAAGTTCTGACCAAGTTTAAGGGATGTTTTTTGATGGACGATGAAAGTTACGTAACAATGAGTCAAAAATTTTACCTTACCAAACCTAAGGGGGATGCTCCGGGTAAGTTCAAATTTGACTTTGCAGATAAATTCGCTCGCAAGTTGATGATTTGGCAAGGCATCCGCAGTTGAGGAAACTGGAGCGGCTATAAATCCACAACTTTACAAGGAGGAATGCCTCCAGAAGAGAATTTTGCCATTCATTCAGTCGCACAAAGGTCCCGTAAAGTTCTGGCCCGACTTAGCCAGCTGCCAGTACAGCAATCCTTGCTGAATGTTATAAGTAGTTATAAGCAGAATAATGTCGATTTTATTGAAAACAAAAAGCATCAATCCACCAAATTGGCCAGATTTTCGTCCCATCGAAAAAATTTGGGCAATTATCAAGCGTAAATTGAAGAAATGAGGCAAATCAATCAAAACACCATCTGATTTAAAGAAGTGGTGGAGAAAGATGGCAAATAAGGTTAACAGCACTCTGTGCAAGAAATGATGGGAGTTATTCAGTGAAAAGTTCGAAAATTCATCTGAATTATTTTTGTTTGTATTTTTTCTAAATTAAGAACCTACTAAATGATACCCTTATCGTTTTTGTATATTATTTCCTCTTGAAGAAATGAACCAACTTGTGCGACCAAATTCTAAATGGAACAGACGTTATATTTATCATTAATCTTCCTCAATGGTGCTGGGGACATTTTCAAGTGACACAAGCCAATGATTTTAATACGAATACGAATTTTATGAACGAATTTTAGTAAATTTTGCGGTATAAACATTATCTTTATTATGACTACATATTGACTAAATTTCAATGTGTTCGGTTATATTTTTTTCCTTGGTTTGTTTTCCGTCGATCTTGTTTTCCGTGCTGAACACTAATGCTACCGACGCCAGGGAGGCAGCTCCCACACATGGACCCTACCTATCGACCCATCAACTCATGAACCGGGGACCAACGGCTTTACTTCCCTTCCGAAGGAAGGCGTGATCAGAGATGTTATGACTCAGAACATCCCGGCGGCACCGACTGGGATTGAACCCAGGCCTGCTGGGGTAAGAGGTAATCACGCTTATCACTACACCATCGGCGCCGCTATCCGGCCACCGCTATCCGGCCACCGCTATCCGGCCACCACTATCCGGCCACCGCTATCCGGCCACCGCTATCCGGCCACCGCTATCCGGCCACCGCTATCCGGCCATCGCTATGCGGCCACCGCTATTCGGCCACCGCTATCCGGCCACCGCTATCCGGCCACCGCTATCCGGCCACCGCTATCCGGCCACCGCTATCCGGCCACCGCTATCCGGCCACCGCTATCCGGCCACCGCTATCCGGCCACCGCTATCCGGCCACCGCTATCCGGCCACCGCTATCCGGCCACCGCTATCCGGCCACCGCTATCCGGCCACCGCTATCCGGCCACCGCTATCCGGCCACCGCTATCCGGCCACCGCTATCCGGCCACCGCTATCCGGCCACCACTATCCGGCCACCGCTATCCGGCCACCACTATCCGGCCACCGCTATCCGGCCACCGCTATCCGGCCGTCACTATCTGACCGTCACCATCTGACCGGTCCTACACGGCTGTTGCTATTTGACTATGGCCATCCAGCAACGCCATCAGGCCATTACCATCTAGTAATCGTCAAGCCCACCAGTTTCGTGCGTGAAATAAATCAATTTAAGGTAAATCCTACAACGCTATTCTGTTAGAACCTCCACGATTCGAAAGCTCCCCCTAGCAAAAACACCATGGGACTCGAATCCAAAAGAAGCCTTGAGTACCCACCCAGGAGCTACCGTTGTCTTAAGGCCAACCTCTTGGGGCTTCGGCTGGTTCTCTTTAGGGACCAATCGGTTCCGGGGTCAATAATTAGTTTGAAGCATATGACGCGTTTGTTTGTTTACTTTTAGTTGCATCTTGCAGCTCTATCCATTCCATTTGACAGAATGGTCCTAAACTGATTGAAATCGTTTACACAACGCTGCAAACTAGCGGCGCCGGTGGTGTAGTGGTAAGCGTGACTACCTCTTACTCCAGCAGGCCAAGGTTCAATCCCAGTCGGCGCCGCCGGGATGTTCTGAGGCATAACATCTCTGATCACGTCTTCCTTCGGAAGGGAAGTAAAGCCGTTGGTCCCCGGTTCATGAGTTGATGGGTCGATAGGTAGGGTCCAGGTGTTGGAGCTGCCTCTCTTGGCGTCGGTAGCACGGAAAACAAGATCGACGCAAAACAAATCAAAGGAAAAAATAACACTGTAAACTTCTCAGGTAAGCGCATGAAAATTTAGTTTGTGCATTCATTTACATTCATTTGCTTCTAACTTTTTTCATCAACATAATTCCGTCAAATGATGAACGAAGCATTTGTAGGTTTTAATATTAACTACAAGTCTTGATAGTAGCTCAATTATTTATCTCTTAAGCATGACGAACTAGTGTGGGCAGAACTTTTTATTATTTTTCAATGGTGGGTTCTGTTCGTTCTCATTCATCATGCACAAGAGAAACAGTGTTCTTTGAGCACTTCCACATTTGTTAATTGAAAGATATCTAAGCCTGTAACATTTTTGCATTTATGTGGCAAGCATGCTTGGCATGCACAGTTGTACACTCCAACTGCTCAGTAATAGCTGTTAATAGCTTTTTTCTCAGTTATTGAAAATTGATTTTCTTTAAAGTAATTGATAGATTATGATCGTCTAAATCTTTACATTTGAATCATCACCAATGAATTTTTACAGTTAAAGTCCGAGATGTGCAGCGAGCATTTCTCATTTGATTTTTACAACGCAAAAACAAATACAGTATATTATAAGAATTAAAATCTTCTTTTGTCAACTGTGTGCAAAGTTATTAGCAAATGAGCAGTTTGTGACCAAAACTGTGACCACCATGGCAAGTACAATGGCCAGGGAAGTCGAGAAATATTTTAAACCGAAAAATTCCTAGACCGGACCGGGAATTGTTTCCAACCGCCTCGATCATGGTCTTGCTTTGCTAATTTGAAGTAACAGACTATAGTGGTCGTTTTTATACGATAGATGAAGGTATAGAGTTGATAGTTCTGTTAGAGTACGGCAGTGTTAAAATTTGTATATAGAGAGTAGAAAACGAGCAAGGCCAACTTTGAGGAAGATACGAATCGGGTTGATCATCTCTCTTTACCAAACTCCCCAGTTGGAGAGGTATGGTGAGGAGTACCCAGCCCCGCCCCCCACCACTGTCTAAAAGAGATGATCACCGATTTGCTCACGTACCTACGATGTGTTGAAACAGTTCTATCGATTGTATCGCACTCAAGCCGTTATTTGAAGGGAGGCATCTAGTTATAGGTTTGGAAATTGCAGTTATTGTTCCGCTACCACGTTATGTGCTCCTGTCATCGTCGACTTGACGATCTCGAGGATACACGGGTAGGGGATGTGCTGATACTGTACCTTTCGACCAATGACAGTAAAAATCCCATCTAGAGTCATGTACTTTAACTATTAGGTTTGTATTACTTCTGCGTGAAGTTGACGATTTACATAGTTGAAGATGCTGATTTCAAATAACAGATTAAAGTGGTCATTTTTATACGATAGATAAGGAGGTGAAAGTATAGATTTAATAGTTCCGTTAGAGTACGGCAGTGTGAAAACTGTATATAAATAATAGAAAGCGAGGATAACTTTGAGGAAGGTACAAATCGGGTTAATCATCTCTCTTTACCAAACTCCCCAGTTGTAGAGGGATGGTGAGGGGTGTCTCCCCCCGCCACCACTGGCAAAAATAACCACTTAAGTCTGTTATTTTAAATAAGCATCTTCAACTATGCAAATCGTTAACTTCACGCAAAAGTAATATAAACGAAATAGTTAAAATATATTTTTCGTCAAGACTATTGAAGTGACCCTCAATTAAATTCGCCAATGCTTAAAGTACGATATATTTATCTTACACTTTTACTATTCAGAAGTTAGGGAAAAAGAATGAGGATTCTGACAACTATTTTAAATTGTATTGTAATTTGCTTTCTTTTATGTAAAAAAAAACTCATATCAAAATATGTGAAAATTCCACGAGTGAAAATTTCTCAAAACATAAGAAAATAAATTTAAAATCTACACATTGAAGACCACATAAGATATCATTTTTATAATCCTTTGGACTTTTTTACGATAAGAAAATTCAAATGAAATTGAATATGTACTAAGATTAACAGTTATTGATTATTCTCAAAAAATAGGTTTAGAACATTCTTACTGGACTTCATGGTTGCATGAAAATGATGACTTACAAATGTTTTCATCATTTTATTAACACAATGGCAATTTTGCTGTAGATTAATTGTCTCATTCGAAAGTGGAGAGTTTTACGCTTCTCTTGCGATAAATTGTAATGTAGTACACTCTTTGCATTACATAATTTGTGTATCATATATATGTATATGTATCAGAAAGGTAGATATCACCACGAGGTGGATTAATCTTTTAATTTAAAAAGGGGCGTTCCCTACTGAATGAATACTGAACGCATGTTTTTTTAATCTTCTCTTCCCTGAACATCCCGCTACTAGACTTGTTTACTAAATATAGTGTTAGCTTACCTATACATTCCGGTTTTGGGTGATACACTTACGCTAGATGTGCTATAGCATCTTACTAAAAAGCTGCATGTAGAGAAACATGGTTTATGGTCTACAATATTGAAATAAACAAAACCCTGTCTGCAGTCGGTAATCTCTAAAATCTTTACGATTCTTTTCGATTTGTGTTGTATAGCTTACGGCCTGACATTAATCAATGTTTGGAAATACGAGCAAAAGCTATCAGCTCCATTCGTAAGCTCTATATCAATAACTCATAAGAACAGACGCGCAATACTGCATACATTTGCATCTTATTAAATGTCTGCCGATTTGCTCAGCCAACATGCCAACAGTTGCAATTTTTTGCATTCTTGAGTAGAAAAGAAATATAAAAAATTAAAGTTCCACAAAACCTTACCCGCGGCTTCTTCAATCTGTGAAACTAAATATTGCTTAAATATTAGTGATGTTGATTGTTCATTCAAATTTAAACTACACAACTCACTGCTTTAATGTGCAACTCCATGCAGCACTAATTGGGACCATCTTTACAACTTAAGTGTAATGACACAAAAATCAATATTTTGATAATAACCACTGAGTAAATCGTAAGACAGCTTTCACTACTGAGTTCAAGGTATTTTCATAACCGGGATTTAGAAATGTAACGAGTGTTCATGATTAATATATCTGCTCAGTAAAAATAAAATCCAAACTAGGTAGTTCGCAGCTCTTATGATGTGAACTCCGCATTTCGAAATTAGATGATCAAAATAACGTCATTAGCATTTATGTACCTAGTGTGATCAGTAATAAATATTACCGACCTGAAGATTTGAATTAAATATGCAGACAATAAGTCATCTTCTGTTATGATAACGACAGGAAAGTTCAGATCAAAAGTACGTATTTTGAAATGAAAGTGGTAGTAGAGTCCTTATTCTATACGCATCGAGATAAGTTTGTGAAAGTTTGGTTGACTATTTTGGAATATGCAAAATAGTTATTCAAGTCATCGATCAAAAGTTTGGGGTCACCCCACAGTATGGCTTGTAGCTGTTGTAAGTTTAATTGAAGTTTTAGTATACAAAAATGGGAAAACATGATGAGCCACATACCAAAGTAGTAAGTTACATTCATCGTCTTTCATCTACTGCAAAGAGAACTAAGATTGTACCAAAAATGGCAGAGATATGAACAAAAAGACCAATCAGGGTCAGCCATAGTATGTTGTAATCACTCAAAAGTTTGTGGTCACCCTCAAAACAAAACTTGGGAATGTTGTTATGTTTTTATCTATGCAATTTTTTGTCCAGTTTTAGTTCTCTTTGCAGTATTTGAAAGGCAATTAATGCTTAATTCGTTGCAATGTGGTTCATCATACTTTCCATATATTTATTATAAAATTTCAGTAAACTTACATCAACGACAAATCATACTGTAGGTGAACACATACATTTGATTGATGACTTGAACAACTATTTTATTGATTTAAAGCTTATTTTAATTTTTTTAACTAAACTTCTACTAACGAATCTCTATGGGTATAGAATAAGAGTACTTCTTCTACTTTCATTTCATAATTTGACCAGCCCAATTCTCAGAAAATCAATCATAAATATTCAATGTGAATTTGGAACGGAATGTTCCCAAAAACATAAATTTGTTCTAAAATGAATCTATGCATATTGTCTTGATCTTTCGAAATCATAATGTTTGACGTCACACGAGATGTTTTGGTTATAAAAAAGAGCTGTCCCACGGCAGGACCCCAGTAAATGTCAAAATATCTCTGGAATGGTCATTTGTCATTTATCGCACCCACATTTATCGATTTGGTCATTTATCGCACCCACTCTTCTCAAAGAGACGATCAGAAAATCACTGATTGTGACTCTGTAAAAGATAAAATTGCAGGTTTTATGTATCAAACACAAAGTTTACAATCTTTTCTTGTTACTTACACATACAAAATATAATTATAATATCTTATTATTGCATAATTTCATAAAACATTTTTTTAGCCAAACTGAATGGAAGGCAACCTGGTACCACTTATGGCACATGAGCTTTGAATGCAGGTTCCAGAACTGGCACCATTCGGTTTATGGTATTGTACCATAGCTAATGTAGTGAGCTAATCTGTTGCATCATGATTGTTATTGTCATAAGTTAATGAATGACGGGCAGAGTAAATATTTGTTTTGTTGATTTATCAATAATAAGGTACACCGGGGCAAGTTGAAACGTTTTTTTTTTAAATTGAACTTTTAAACTCTCTGGAAAAATTATAAAGTAACATAACCCGATCAGGAACCGATAGCTAACCGATAACATATGAATATCTTAATGTGCTATGATACCTTATTTTGGTATTCTTGTGTTAAAAAATCTAGTTTTGATATTATTCAGTTATCGAAATATTTTGTAAAATATCAAATAAATTTCAAAATAACAAAATTTTATCTTTATGTTTTTAGACAATAACACCTCAAAGAGTTATTGTATTGGTATTAGAAGACCTAATCAAATAGCAAGTTATGGTATTCTGGCATAAAAAAGCGTTTGTTATCCGTCAGTTATTATAATATCCAAATTAGTTATTAGTTCGTTATTCGTAGAACATTTTTGATGTATTATTTTTGGTATTTTACCTCTTTTGTCAGCCTCATCAATACCACATTTAGGTTGCCAGTTAAGCTATTTTCATACCTGAATTTGGTATCCATAAGGTATTTTCTCCTGCTCGGGAAACTAGATGTTTTTGCACCAAAAGTTTCGTATCATAACAAATACCCCTGATAGGAATATAAGTATCCCCAAAATGAACGCGGTGGGTAGTTCTGTTACCAGAATGCCGTACATTCTACTATTAACAGTTAACCCAATCATACATAAATTTAATTGGTCAAATGATTATAGGATTGCCTCAATTGGTTTACTGCGTACTACCTGTGGGTTTACAATACATTTGTGTATTATCGTAAATTGCAACAATATGAAATTATTAAAATACATCGATCAGAGTGACAATATTTTTGCTACAGAACAGCTCGCACAGCTAAATATTACTGTATACAGTTAAAAACAAGCTTAATGTGCTTTCAAACAGCTGAATCAACCGATGGATTTAGTTTGCTGGTGAAAAATTGATGTACTATACCTATTTAAAATTGCCCATAGGGCTTAAAAATGCAGGGCTAGTTTTTTTTTCTTTTTCTTTTGGTTTGTTTTTTCCGTCGATCTTGTTTTCCGTGTTGAGCACCAATGCTACCGACGTGCCAGGAAGGCAGCTCCCACACCTGGACCTTACCTATTGACCCATCAACTCATGAACCGGGGACCAACGGCTTTACTTCCCATCCGAAGGAAGGCGTGATCAGAGATGTTATGCCTCAGAACATCCCGGCGGCACCGACTGGGATTGAACCCAGGCCTGCTGGGGTGAGAGGTAATCACGCTTACCACTACACCACTGGTGCCGTTGCAGGGCAAGTTGAAATGCTTGAAATGTTGAGGATGTTTTTTGCAACTTCATTTGTAGCCGGGTTTTTCTATTTCATCACTCCAACTTGCCTCCATATGGTTCCATTTGGATGAGTGCATAAAAATAGGTAAAATTCAGAAAATTATGTATTTTTTAGAAGAAGGAAGCCATTTGTAAATAATGTGTAAATTTCATGTAAAATGAAAATAAACAAAGCTGAAGAGCACGCTGTTTATAACTACCTGATTTGACAGCCATAGGATGCTTTGAAGTTTATATTATGCTGTTAAAAATCATCAAAGAGATAACTCACATCGGCATATAAATTACCGCTTTCGTTTCAACTTACCCCGCATTTCAACTTGCCCCGGTGTACCTTACATGTTGCATAGCAATGGATCCAAATTTTGAAACTATTTGTTCAAAATGGGGTCATAGCAACTATTACGCCATCGATTTTTATTGTTCAAATGAAAGTGAAATTTATGATACTGTATATCGAATTTATCTCAGCAAAACCATACCAATGCTATGCAAAATGAAACTTGTTGTTTAAATAATAGTGTGTATGTGGAGTGTACATGGATAATTTATTATTTCAGTCAGAGATAAACCAGCCGCTGATAGAAATAAAGAGAATTTCAGAGCTTTCAGGAATGAAAACGAAGAAGAAGTTATATGACATTTTGATTTTCCTGATTTTTTTTTAACAATCTTCAAATAAACGATTATATTTTTCTCGATACAAATGACTATTGATCCATTCCAGGGGACATAACATGCAGATTTTGGGCCCGTAATTACTCTTTTTGATTAAAACTGATAATAAACTTATTTATATTCAAAAATGCAGTAGACATGATTTACTTTAATTTCCATTCCATATCTAATAATATTATCACTAATAACACTGCGTGACGTGACAAAGCGACCTGAAAATAGCAATTTTTCGGCTTTAACTCTGTTTTAATAGGCATTTTCCGGTAAGTATAAATGTTTTGATATTACTCAGATAACTTTAAACATGTTTTTCAAGCTTTGTTGAAAGTAAAACTCAATTTAAAGTAATAACACCATAGAAAATAATAAATGTTGTTGTAAAGGCGTGGTGAAGAACTTCATGGAATGGATCTGTTATGCGTCCATTCATTATTTTTTCTTATCTGTCAGTTGTCTTTATTATGTTTTCGAAACCTGGAGCGATATGATACATCCTTTGCACATTTACCTAATAAGAAACAAGCAGAGTGCTATGCAGTGCAAATTCACATTTGGGTTGAGAACTAACTGAGAGAAAATTTAAAGAGCTTCCGAGCGCTGCCTTTACATTCATATTGAAAAGCACTATAGTTAAGCCACTCCCACGGTAGGGACGGTCTAAATTTTCTTTTCCGTTTGTTTTACACATTTGTTCAATGTCGGGAAATAGCTTCGCTTAGTTTTTCGAATGTAATCATGTCTGTAGCAAGTACCTTTTTAATTAAGATGTGAGTGTTTTTTCATAATTTGAACGATGATTCTTAATCGAGTTAATTAACAGTTTGGTTGTTTTTGTACCTTGATTGAAAGTCAAGCCACAATGGATAATCATAAAACCGTTGGCAGTTTTCCAGTTTTTAGTGACAGTGTACAAAATTTATCGGGCAAGCCAACAGTAATATTTCATTCGGAAGAAAATTTCACGGCACATAGTAATCATCTGAATCAACCAAGGAGTGCTACTTTTCACCAAATATATAATGTAAACCAGTGCACAAAACTTCAAGAAGATAAAAGTGTGGTATCCTGTTTAAATAGTATTAGCGATAATAGTAGTAGTTTACCACATCGAACCACAGACAAATTTAAACGGTTTTCAGTGGATAATTTGCTACAGATTGCAAATTTTACCTGTGATGAGCATGCTTCTGGTAAGACATATTAAAACAAACCTCGTTTGGAAGGTTAAGCGTGAAACTTTTAATGTGGTGATCTGTGAGATCTCCTGGGGAAGTCAATTGTAATTATCGTGATATTGTTGTCAGGAAGTGAATATTAGGGTTTTCCATTTTGAAAAACAACATGCCCGCAGCCCATTACTTATGGGTATGGGTCCCCTCACGTTGCTCAATCCCAGGCAATGAGAAGGCGGATTCTCTCGAAAAGGTGGGCGCGCAGGAAGGCGAATTTTATGACAGGCAAATTTCACACCATGAATTTTACCATTTAGTGCGTCAAAGTACCATTACGAGTTGGCAAACCGATTGGAACACTGGAAATCTTGGATGATGACATCGATCACGCAGTTTGGCAATGTATGGATAATGACGCCGCCAGAAAGCGATTTTTGAATACCCTCGAGGCCCAAGGAAGACAACCCTATATCCCTTTCAGAGACGTGTTGGGTACCCGCGATCTCTGGTATATGCAGTCGATTTATGTGTCTCATCGTCGCCCACTGGTCACCATAGCCGGTCGAACTCCAGACGAATCTAGAATCACACTACCGTTCGTACTGGGGACATCGCTCTGATGATACAACGAAATCCTACACCCAAGCTCCTTCTCTTTTGATATCCTTCGACAATGTACCCCTCTAAACTTGGGTAAGCCGCGAGTATTCGGCCCAACTCCTACCAGACGTACAATTAATTGAATTTTGTTACAAACAAAGAACAATGAATTATCGGCTCCGTAAAACTAACGCGATTGAGCCTTACAAATAAACGAACTAGATAAAAAAAACACTTGCGCCTCTGATTAACAAGTTCGAAGAAAATTTGAAGAAATGTTAAATTTTAAATAACCAGCGTCTCTGATATACATGTTCAGGTGAAAATTGAAAAATCGTAAAATTTGAAATGGCTAGCGCCCCTGGTAGACATGATTAGGTTAAAATTGATAAAAACCTGCACCCCTAATAAACATGCTTAGGTAGAAATTGAAAAATAATAAATTGGGAATTGCCTGGTAACCATGGTAAGGGTAAAATAATCAAAATCGTAAAATTTGAAGTGGCTAGCGCCCCTGATATACACTCAGGTCTTTTTTTACACGGGGAATATGTACGGTGCATAAAAACCGTGTAAAAAAAACATACTGTGATTTTGTTTTTTCACATGCCGAAATATATAAAAATGTCTGTGTTTACACCAAAAAATGTGATTTTTTTAAAGTATGCCATTCGATTTCCTATTGCTTGAAATGGATAATTTGATTGAAATCAAGTCGATAGGTTAAATCGATGTCGAGAAATCGTTAAAAACGTACGGTGCAAATCGTGACTCAGCGGCACTAACCGTGTAAAAAAAAAACCGTGTTAAAAAGACTTCAGTGTACACGTTCAGGGAAACTGAATAAAAATATCCTTATTTTAATTGGCTAGCGCCACTGGTTAGCAAATTCAGACATTAATTGAAAATATGACATTAATTGAAAATATGGCAAATCCATGCATTAATTGAAAATGGTCACAATGTTCAAGGAAAAAAATAATTCAAAATAGCTAGTAACCCTGGTAAACAAGTTCAAAATTGGTAAATTTAAAATGGCTTGCGCCCTTAGTTAACATGTTCAGGGAAACATTAAAAAATATATATATATAGGGGAAATGACGACTTCGGCATGACAGACTATTTTCGGCAACCCAAATTGAAACACTATTTTCACTGGATTTTCTTACGAAAACACTTCGCTGAATGCATGCAAACGATTCTTTATGCTTTCAGCTTCAATTTGACTATATTTTTACCACTGAGAAAAAGCAATCTAGCAGGGTTTTCTTGAAATGAAACACACGCACTACAAATTGTAGCTGATTTCGAGTTGCCGATAATAGAACAGCAGATTTACATGCAGTTCAAATGGAACGGTTGCCGAAGAAAAACTGGTTGCCGACAATACTCGCTCTCACTAGAGAAGATTGGTGCTTTGTAAAAGCGTTTGAAAACAGTTTTTGACAATTCTTTCGACTGAAATTGTTAGAGCAGCTGTCAGCAAAAGATTGAAAACAAACCAATACTGAATATGTGTGCGTTCCATAGAGAAAAAGGCTATAGAAAGAAGGTCGCTGCTTAGGTTGCCGAGAATACGTAAATTCCCCTACATGTCTGGGAATTTCTGTTTCCCTTGATTTGTTTTCCGTCGATCTTGTTTTCCGTGCTGAGCACCAATGCTACCGACGCCAGGGAAGCAGCTCCTATACCTGGACCCTACGTATCGACTCATCAACTCATGAACCAGGGACCAACGGCTTTACTTCCCTTCCGAAGGAAGGCGTGATAAGAGATGTTACTTGATTATCTTGATGTCTTAGAACATCCCGGCGGCGCCGACTGGGATTGAACCCAACTTCAAGGAAAAAATAAAATAAAATGATACACATGTCCAGATACAAATTTATCAAAATCGGAAAATTTGAAGTAGCTTGCGCCCCTGGAACACATGATAAGGGAAATGTTTTAAAGAAATGGTAAATTTGAAATGCTTAAGGCCGGCGCACAATAGATACGTTTTCAGGTTTTTTGACAGTTAGCCCATGCATTATCTGTCAAAAAACCCGAAAACGTATCTATTGTGCGCCGGCCTTTAGTGTCCCTGGTAGACAAGTTCACGGAAAAATTGAAGAAAAAAATGGCGCGCGGCGTTCGAGGTTATTAAAGATTAGTCGGCGACTATCCTGTTATGAAAATATCATATGAAAAATTGTCACCTCCAATAATGAAAAGGGGTTTCGTGGGGGGGGGGGGGGATACCAAGATGAAAATATCATTTGAAAAATTGTCATCTCCAACTATGCAAACCCCCTCCAATTATGAAAAGGGATGAGAATATGAAAATGAAGATGAAAATATCATATGAAAAATTGTCACCTCCAATTATCATAAGGGGAGACCAAGATGAAAATATCAAATGAAAAATTGTCACTTCCAATTATGCAAAGGGGGGACCAAGATATATCATATGAAAAATTTTCAGGTGAAAATACGTCACATGTATGTTGATGCTTGAAGGAAAATTTCTATGCATACCAGCTTTTAGTCAAATAAATAAGCATGAAATGTTTTTTCATGACTGTATTGTTAAAAACCAGAACCATGAGATGTTATGTCAAAATAGTCACTGAGAAGGAAAGATCTAGTTGTGGTGTAATAGGGAACAATAAGAGATACTTTCATAACATTTTAATGTTCCTAACTGATTCAAAATAGTTTTTGCAGATTAAACTAGAATATGGTTTCAGGAAAATACTGATAGATTCACTGAATCTAGTATGCCAAGCGACTTTACTGATAGATTCACTGAATCTAGTATGCCAAGCGACTTTTGCCTGCTACAATGAGCGCGCTTCACGAGAGGTTGTGATGATTGTGCTTCTTTAAAATCAAGATATATGTGGTGTATTGAGTGCTGCGGCTTTCATCTTAGGAAAATCACGTGGATTTTTCTGGGAATATGACAGTATAATACAGTTGATTTATGCAACAGTCGATGGAATTAAAGTAAGTGAAAGTGCGCACGCTGCAAATGAGATTTTGACCTTATTACCTAAGATTTCTTAGTCTGATCTTAGTAGAAGCATTATATAATATACTAGTATTATTCTGCATGGAATGACTAGGAGAGCTGCTATTTATAGTATTTATACCAACACTTTACGGCCGTACATGCTTTTATGGGATATATGGATTAAATTGACAAGAAAGCGAGGATTTGGCTCACTATTAATTATACCAAAACTTATCGCTATCGCAAAAAATTATCGAAGGTTAGAATGCCGAGAATCTGTTTTATGTATGAGATTTTTATTTTTTTCCCCAATATCAAGAAAGAATCTATATCCGATATGATAATGTTCGCATTATCAAAGTATTTCTAGCCTCAAAATCTTGGAAGAATTCCTACGTCTCAGCGCTTGACAAAGTGGTCCATTATTATACATATTTCAGATTTCAGAATCTTGCTTTTGTTAGCCAATGAACAATTTACGGAACAGTTTTGGATAAACTGCAAGACTTGGTTCTGATATAATAGGTCATTGCGCGATAGCAATACAATTTTATCTGTCATAATACCAAAATGCCAAAAGCTTGGCAGGATCAAACTCGCTTCTCAGCAATGGGAGAAGCGTGCTGTATCACAGCATCGCCACACATTTACAGGTTCGGTTTTATGACGTCAGAGGGATCGTCACATCTGAGGATGCATTTTGATTAAAAAAATATTTGACACTTCTGGAAAGACATGCATGTGACAGAAGAATTAACAAGAATGTTGTGAATGTTTACATTTTTTTAAATCTTAATATTTTTATTCAAAAATCTGTAACCTGAATTTACATACCCTGTATGAAAAATTGACATAAAAATTGTAACATTCCAGAAAAATCTGGTAGCATTAGCTCATATGCATACTCCTACCAAAAGTGTAAACAAGCTGTAGGATGTCTCCACGGTAGAATAGGTGGTCTAAATTTATTTACCTTTCCCTATCGTTTGATGTGATAAAGAGTCACAAACTTGTAGAGATATTATTAAAAATACAACACTGCTTCGTGATTCCAATTCCGTCCAAACACAATGAAAAGTCATTGGATTTACTTCGGCATACGGATAAAGGCAGATAAAATGGATTTGCTACGACAATTGCTTTTATTTTTGAGAATAGTGGATATAAACATTCTTACAATACTATCGTATCAAACGATGTTTTTACTCGATATGACGGAAATATGCACTAATGCCGAAGTAGATCTCTACCATACAATGATTTTATGTTAATGAAGAAAATTATAGGAAGTTTCTTTCGCTCAGAATCAACATGATATATTAAGGGTTTTATAACTGAAAATTGATTTTTCCTTGAAGTTTTTTTGCGTCCATGAAAATACATATCTTGAGAACAAGTGTGATTATTTGCAAGGAAGTTTATT